TAAAATTAAATTCCGGTTTCTGGTCTAACCGGCCGGAATTTCCGGATTTGACCGGATCTGATCGGCATTGACCGGATTTGACCACAGTTAAATACCGGCCCCTTTCCAGCCGGTTTGCTGACCGGTACCGGTTGAACCGGCCGGCACGAAACCGGTTTGACAACCATGCTTCGACGAGCTTCCGGCGAAGCTCTAGCGACCCTCCTTCGGCTTGTTTTTGGCCATTTTTCCGCCTCCCTCGCCCTCTATTCACTTCTCTTACCATCCGACTTGAGTCTTCATGTTTTTTTTTTCAACTCTACCTTGGTTAATTTGGGAGAATGGGATTAGGTAGTGAATTGAGAAAATTTTCGTGAATTAAATGTTGAACTTAGCAATAGGGCGAGGGATTAGGTGAATTGTGGTGAATGAATGATTGAATGATGGTTGCATGAGCTTATTTGAGACTTGGTGGTCATGATTTAATTCGAATTGATTTTATTTGTGGAATTTGCCCACCAAGTGCTAATTTGTCAATGAATGTGCAATTTTTATGCTTGAGTGGTGGATGGTAGCCACCGTGGCATGGTTTGGGTTAAATTTTTGTGTGGATAATCTGTGAAACACCTAGGACTATGCCTCCGTGTGCTAGAGCTTAATTGTTTCAAATGGCATGGAACCGGAGTGGATATATAAGTGTTAGGGGAATTCCTTTTCCTCCCAATGAGTTGAGATTGACAATTATTTCCACGTAAGGTGCATGTTTGAATTTTTTGTAGGATGCTTGACACAGATCATGAGTACATCCTCTACTTGGTGAACCATGAACGGTTCGGGGCCAAGTTTGCTTATCAGAGGGACAGTCCAGTAGAACCGCATTGGAGGCTAGAAGTGGACATGTTTCACATCGGATCTCGGGTTTTAAGCCGATTTTACGCTAGGTTGTTCTTGTTTATGACATTTCAGGTCCTAATGAGTGAATGAAGGTTTGAGCACGAGTTCGGGGTCGATTAGACAAAATAGGGACGAGCGAGGGAGAGCAGACAAGTTGCACGACGAGTACGGGAAAGATCACGGTCGTGCATGGTGGCCTTTTTGGTCGTGCGAGATTTATCGAGAAGCTGCATAACCCGACCCTCTTTTGCACACGGCCGTGTACGATGAATTTGTGGCGGTGATGAATTCTGTGAGAGAGCTGCATGGCCAGGCTCTCAGATTGCATGGGCCGTGCACTCCCTTCGCGGAACTAATTGAAACCCTGCGTTTTGGCGTGCACGGGCAGACATGGAGGTTGCACGGCCGTGCGTTCTGCCCGCGCAATCGCAGGTAGCTGCATCTTCACCCAATTTTAGGGTTTGAAGAAGGGGATTCAACTTTTTGAGCAAAAAACAGAGTTCTAGAGAGAGAAAGTGAGAAGAACAAACCCTAGAATCTATTTGGAGTGGATTCTCACCATTGAAGCCCGGATTGCATCCCCAGGAGTGAAGATTGACATCCCAGAGTAGATTATTCCCATCTTTATGAGTATGACTGCTTTGATGTCTATTTTCCTCTCTCTCTCTCTATGGAGTAGAACTTTCTCGGAAAAAATCCCAAAGTACACTAGTTCTTAAAAAAATTCCCAAAATACATAAGTTATAAAAAAAATTCCAAAACTACACATGTTTGGCATTCATCGTCTTTCTTCAAAACGGTGAATACCGCGTTATCGCTGACGTTCAACCATGGACAAACGCGGGGGTATTCACTTGCGTCAGCGATCCGCGTCGCATTTCCTTTCACCGTGGCCGTCAGATGCGGTGAGGCGCGGATCATGGTTTTCTTCCCAGATCCGACGCCTCACAGCTGGTCCACGTCGCTCCCATCACCGCCTTTGACTTCCGCGGTGAAGTATCCCATAAATTAAATTCGCCAGATCCTTTCCCCCCCTTCCAAACACTATAAATAGACCCTCCCCCCCCCCCCACTTACAAATCACACCTCAACTTATTCTTTTTTCTCCCTCAATTTATCCGCTCTAGTCTCGTTCTAAGTATGCTCTGTGGTTGCGGATAAATCCGATCTTCCACATCATAAAGAATTACTAGAGTTTGACCTTAAAGCCCCCGTCCCACTAAGGTCCCGTCCCTTACAAACCTGAACCCGTCGAACCACTGTCCGGCTTCTGCCAAAAAATGGACGAAGAGGCTCTTCGTGTAGGGTTTTTTTATTTGTGTTCTTATTTTTAATCGTAATAATTTGATTTTGTGATTTTTTTTATCAAAATAATCTCTGATTTCATTACATTTTTTATAGATGGGTGCCGAGATATACGAGCCTCGATTGTATATCCATTATGGGCCAAGAGATATGAGACTCTTTACCGATCAAGAAGCTCATCGCTCCCGTGCTATTTGGGATAACAATCCGGTAATTTTATGATTTATTTGCTTCATTTTATTATTTTCTAAGGTTTTATTTTGCTTTATTTAAACTAACAAATTGATGTTTTTCCTATTTTTTTTTGAAGGAATCACTTATTCCCGTCGTTCATAAAGGGACCACAAACTTGCCCCCTTGGCATCCACGGTTGGCGCCCTATATAGAGAGGATCGGGTTGGGTATGTTGCGCCATTTCATGCGGATCGAAATTGACAACGATCTGCTTATGGAAATGGCAGAGCGATGGCATCCCGAAACCCATATGTTCCACCTTCCGTAGGGGGAAATGACGATCACCCTCAAAGACGTGGCGATCCTCTCCGGGCTGCCGATTACTGGAGGTTGGGGGCCGCTCATTCTTGCTGAGTTGGGATTTGACATGCCGACCACCACACCAATTCAAGGACGGAGGCATCCACCGTTGAATGCGGGACAAGTGTCAGTCCTGTGGCTGGTAGCTCACATCCAGAATGAGGTGCAAATCAATGACGAGACTCCGGAAGATCAAGTGGAGCGCTATGCACGCATCTACCTCATTGGTCTGGTGGGTTGATTTTTGTTCCCCGACAAGTCAAACCGGTGGATTCAAGGCATATGGTTGCCATTGCTCACTGGTGACTGGGACACAATCGAGGAAACGAGTTGGGGATCAGCCGTGTTAGCTGGCATATACCGGGAGTTGTGCACTTGCTCGAAGGTGGGAGCAAAACAAGCTGGTGCTGCGATGTTTATCCTACAGCTGTGGGTATGGGAGCATCTTCCAATGTTCGCACCTCTAGACCCACGTCCATACCGGAGAGCCGATGATGAGCTAAACTTTCTGCAAAATCCTCCCTACGGTGTCAAGTAAGTTTATTCCGTACTTAGCTTAATTTAAAATTATTCCATGATTAGCTAGATTTCAATTGAATTTATTCCGTACTTAGCTTACTTTAAAATTATTCCATGATTAGCTAGATTTCAATTGAATTTATTCCTTACTTAGCTTAATTTAAAATTATTCCATGATTAGCTAGATTTCAATTGAATTTATTCCGTACTTAGCCTAATTTAAAATTATACCATGCTTAGCTAGATTTAAATTGAATTTAATCCGTACTTAGCTTAATTTCAATTTATACCATGCTTAGCTAGATTTAATTTTAGTTTAATCCGTACTTAGCCTAATTTCAATTTATTCCATGCTTTTACTTACAAGGTGGATAGGAGAAAATACGAATGACCATCAACCTGAGCATTCGTTACTGTTTTATTGTTCTGAGTTAGATAAAGCTTGGTGGAATCATGTAATCATGCTTTATCATATTTTAACAAGTTTCAATTTTTGAGTGTAAATGGTCGCTAATTGCATTATTTGAATGAATATAGGTTACTTAAGATCCATATCCACGTGAAGTGGTCGAACTTGATCATCTTAGAAACCCTCTAGATCACGAGACGTGGTTGTGCAAGGTGCCATTGATCTGTTGGCACATCGTGGAGTGGCACCTACCCGATCGATCCTTGAGGCAATATCGAATGGAGCAACCAATTCCACAAACCCCACCTCAGGGTTTCAGGGAGCTACATGCCATCAACCTCCGACACGCTTCAAAGAATTGGATCCTAAAGCATCAGTACTACATCAACATATGGGAGAATAGAAGGACATGGGTGGTCCAAGGGATGCTGGAGGTGAGACCGATGGGCTACCACGATGGGTACATGCAGTGGTATCGGAAGTTCACCAATAGATGGGTGTCAAAGCAAGGTGTTGTTATGGGTTTGTTGGTAAGTCATCCTAATCTCCCGCGTGACTCTAATTATTTTGTTTTAAGGCTTAATTAATTTTGTTTTATTATGTGGATTGCTTAGGTTGATGGTTTGGAACACGCCAAACACACCCTCGATAGTGCTCCAAGCATGGATGAGCCGGAAACTTCTTGGCTGCGAAGGCTTATGAACAACCTCTTGAGTTGTACTCGAGAGCAAAGGAGGGATTTCGTGGCCTATCCTCGCATTCCCGCTCCGGCACGCCCATCATTCCGTGATGGTGAGCCCATTGTGCCCCCGGTTGAGCCCCCACGAAGGAGCAAACGCAGGCCTCTCCCTACTTTCGAAGAGGTGCGTACAACTCAAGAAATCGAGCTCCCTGAACCATTTGAGTATGAGTGGGCACCTGCATCGGATGTCGCTGGAGGTTCATCTCAGAGTGAACAAAATTTCTCTCATTTCCACCATCAGCAACAGAGTTCGATGTATCACACCCCGCATCAACAAACCCCTCACCGCCCGATCTACCAGCAGGCTACTGGTCCATCTCAGCCCCCTCCACCGCCACTTGTAACTCCAGTAGGGGCTCGGGTTAAGAGACATCCGCGATAAGCCGTTGAGCGAGCCCGCCAAGAAGCAGAAGGAGGAGGTGGAAGAAGGGGTTGAGGACGTCGTGGAGGACGAGGAGGAGGGCGAGCCGAGGGCCAAAATGAGGGGCAACCAAATGAAGAAAACCAGTGATTTGAGTTTGAGTTTGCATTGTCGATGAGTTATCCATGTCTTTTTAAAATTTTTAGGTCTTGTGATTTGAGTTTGCATTGTCTAAAAACTATCCTACGCACTTAAGTTGTCATTGAAACACTTTATTGATGACATTTTTTGTTTTATTTTTCTGGATCAATTTAGGAAGTAATTAGTATGAAATTTACTTGGTCTGCAAGAATAGAAACATTTCAAATAGTAAACACGTATTAAAATACCTGAATAACCGGTATGCAGAACCCAAACCCGTCAATGCATGGTTTGAAAGCCCAAAAAATACGGTGAAACATCAACTTCTCCTGTACTCGAACTTGATCCTCAGTGTATACATCGTTGTCTACTGGCATGAAATCAGTCCCAGGGTTTGACACCTCCATTGCGGCCATAAGTCTAGGGAGTAAAGCATACGAATCCTCCCAATCACCATACACCTCAGCCATGGCTTTCTGCTTTCCATGCCATACTTTTTTGTACCTTATCGTGTAAGAATGTCGATCCTTCACCTCGGCCATGATAGCTTTGACTTTGATATCTGGTTGTGCTTCGATAAGGTGTTTAATAGTTCTCCCAATTTTCTTTGCTTTAAGTTGCCTGTGATCCTGGGAACGTATGGACGAGAAGCAAGTGTGGTTGGTCTCGGCTTTTCGAATCACCCAGGCACCCTTTCTCTTCATATTTGCAGCACGCAGTTGCCACGTACAACCCTTTGCATCATTCTTGCATATGACATGTAATTGTTTACTGTCAGAATATTTTACCTTCCACTTGAAGTTGCGCCTCAAGGCCTCTTCGGTAAAGGCATCCTGCACAGCGTCCTTCGATGAGAACGTCATACCCACCTCCAAATCGGCCGTCGGATTATACACTGACATAGGGACAAAGTCGGGGGCATCATTCTGACTATGTAGAAATTGAGTTGGAACCTGTGTGTAGTATGGCGTGAGTGCCTCACGAAATGTCGCCTCATCGTTGTTATCATCAGTATCTTCCTCCTCGCTCATTGATCTCAAATCTTCCTCACTATCCTCGTCGCTTGAGTCAAATGGATAGCTCGGCCCAGAAGGATCAACATGACCACCATCACCAACATCGTCTTCTCGCTCATGTGATGTACGCCCTGCTCGAATGGTATTCTCGATTTTAGCCCACTCAGGCCCCCAAGCAAGCCATTGAACGCCATCGGCAGGTTGATCCTGTTGCGAGTATTCTTCCGACGACACCCATCCTGCACTACTACCTCCACCGTAGTTGATTGAACTACCACCCTCGCCATAATCTCCTGTATAACCACCTCCTTCGTAGTTGCTCGAACTACCATCCCATCTGTACCCTCCTGCAAAACCATCATCATAAGAATACTGGTGAGAATGAGTTTCACCGACCGCCTCGGTCTCAACATACACCTCTGCAAGCCGCATCCCGTTATCGCTTAGGAATTCCAACATCATCGTAGCCGCGTCATCATCGTTTATGACAACTTCTTGGTACACAACCCCGCCAGCACTCATGTCTGGATATCGGTAACTAATTTTGTCAAGTCTTGTATGTCCGCTCGTACAAACCCTGTTTGCACAAATATCACGGAGTTCTTGAAAATTGAATCGCGACTCAATTTTCAGCATAGTGGATTCACCGTTCTCATAATCAATGCCTATGTCAGAGTTTGTCACCCTTCCATTCCACCGAATAATAAGCCGAAACTTCTTGAATTTACCCATATCTACAATTTACAATAAGTTAAACTATTAGTTTAAAGACAGTAAAATTAACCAAAACCATATTGTACGACTAATATTACTCCATTTCATAACTAACGTAACATAAATTCAACTAACTAACAACAACATAAATTCAAAAATTAAGTACTACAATTGCTACGATAACTAATTCATAATAACATAACAATATAACTACTAAAAACATCATTACGCTATAATACGAAAATTAAATCATACTATAACTACTAAAAACCCATCATTAACCTATAATACGAAAAATAAATCATACCGAAAATTCCCCACCTGTGTATTATGCTGGGTTTTGGTTACTGAAATTTGAAGAGGGGGGGGGGGAGTGGTTTTGTTTTTATAATTGCTAGTGGGCTGGTATTTATAGGAAAATCTGCCTAATGTTCATCGTTTTTGTCAAACACGGTGAACACCATCACCGCGTTTGTCTCAAACGGTGAACATTAGGTAGCTCATACCTAATTTTCACCTAACAGGGGTTGAAAACGTGCCTAATACTCACCGTTTTAACCTATAACGGTGAAGGTTAAAACGGTGATATATTCACCGTTTCCTACTAAAACGGTGATATCTTCACCGTTTTCATTTTAGGCAATGATTGGTTCACCGTTTTAGAGAAAAATGGTGAATACTTCAGCGTTTTAATTTAAAACGGTGAATTATTCACCGTGCTTATCAAACGCGGTGATAGTCTTCACTGCGTTTGTCAAAAACGGTGAATACCAAGCATGTGTAGTTTTGGAAATTTTTTTATAACTTATGTATTTTGGAAATTTTTTTATAACTTATGTATTTTGGGAATTTTTTTAAGAACATGTGTACTTTGGGATTTTTTTCCGACCTTTCTCTCACTTGGGTATGAAGAACCCTAGTTCCATGTGTTAGTGATATGAGTTGTAATGACTTTTGGATTCATATATTGTTTGATTATAATCGATTGAAGTGTGTTTATTGAGACAATTGAATCCTGATCAAATTCTCTTGATTTCTGCTGCAACTTGAGATAGATAGAATCTGATTAGGTTGTTAGAGCTTCTTCAATTGACAGGAGTGGATTGATTATACGAGAGTTAGTCAATCCATTGCTTTGTACTGGAATCCAATTCAAGTAGCGGAGTTCTGTGTTAACTGCCTTAGCTTTCTATCCCAGTGAAGACTAGTCATCTGCCGGTTAGTCTGTCTTAGAGGGCTTGGTCAGTTTAAGAGATTAAAAGATACTCTCGGATCTTCCGCAGTTTAATCAAAAGTAAATCAACTTAAGGAAATTACAACTTGGACCTAACTAAGGAGCTAGGGGGACTCATTCCCGAGTGCTTCTTCTCTCGCTTCAGGAAACCAGAAAATTTACTTCTTTCGTTCTGCTTTACTTTGAATTTAACATCACTCACTTGGTCTTGCTAGATAATAGATAATAACAGAGTAGGCAGTAGATCTAGACCTCGCGTTGATAAATTAAACTTACGACTATTCTGCATTACTGGACTGCAATTATACTTGGTCCTAGTTTGGTGTTGTGTCATAGCCCGTCAGGAGTTCTACTCCACCTTCTCCAACGTCATCCCGACGAACAAGAAGAGTCATCCCTACTTGGAGTTCATGCTCGGAGGTCAGCCGGTGGTGCTGACTTACGACACCTTCGCCTAGGCCATGGGGTTGGAAACCACCTACATGACAATGACGGAGCGGTAGTACACCATCAATTTCCACTATCAGGCCGCGTTCCGGGCCCTCTACCGCCCCGAGCACGAGCATGATGATTTGAGGCTGGCTGCACCAATGCGGTGAAGCCGGAGCTTCAAGGAGAGTGAGGGACCGAGTACCTCGACGGACTTTGAACCTCAGCAGCTATGAGGCCAGCAGTTGACCCGACTCCGGTGGTGTTCGATCCAGAGGTCCCTGCTCCATCGCACCCACCTGCTAGAGCTCCCGACTGCCTCCACCGTCCCATGCTCCAACGTTCTACACCACCACCACCCCCACCAACAACAACATCATCATCAGGAGCTGGTCCTTCCACCTCCGGGTTGTACCTTGTTGAGTGAGCCATGTGGTAGAGCCTATTCCTTTCGTCCCATTTCTCTACTTGGAACTATGAACTCTTTTACTTTATTTTTCTATCTTTTATTTGGTATGGGTGAACAACTACTACTATCGTACTTTTATGTGTAATAACCTCGCCTCGAGCAAGTATGTGTTGTGTTTGTGTGGTGTGTGTGTGTTTTGTCTTCTCCTTGAAGCTCAAATCTCCTGCCCCGGAAAATTTCAAACTTTCTCACACCAAGCAATGCGGTAACATCGTTCTACCCCTATCTTACATCATTGAGGGCAATGTCGAACTTATGGGGGGAGGGGGGGTTAGTTTAATATTATGCCTGTGTGAGTGTGATTGATCCTTGGAGCCTTGATGTATGCCCAAATTTGAAAAATTTGACGGCTCCAAGCAATGTTTGCATGATCAAAGTGGCTGGTTTGTGGGGGAATCTCGTGTTTGTTGGCATTGACCTTGAATTGTTGAATGTGATTGAGTGTGTCCTATGATGATGACTAAGAGGTGCATTAGGATAGTGCAAAGATTTAGTTCTCATGTGTGCAAAAGTGAATGGATGTCTTGAATCGATTACTTGTTGATTACAATTGCCAAAATGTTGATTGTCCCGAAATGTTTTATCCCCTAGTCAATCCCTTTGAGCCTAGTGACTTTGGGGGTCGTTCTCTTGTAGGAGCTTACTGCCTATGAGCTTAATGGTGTTTGATAGAACGACCTCCCATTCTTTATTTGTGTCTACATGTGAGTCGTCCTTGTGTCCCGGAGCTCTCGCTTTTTAGTTCCATTGAGGTTCTTCATAGGAGGATTGTGTGCGGTTCTTGCTAGGAATGAAAGAGAAAGAGGAGTGCTTGAGCAAGTTCTTAAAAGAGAGCATTGGTTGTTAAATTTAATGTGGCAAGGGTCTTACTCTCTACTACCCCCCTCAAAAAGAAAAGAAAATAGAAAAAGAAAGAAAAGGAAAGTAGAAAGAAAAAGAATTGAAGAGTTCCACACAAATCAAAGAGTATGCTCTAGGAGGGGTTTCTTGGCACTCAATCCATTGAAACCCCCATGTTGTTGTTGAACTCATTCGCTACCACGTCAAAATGTGATAGCAAGAATAGACTGAGGAAGCGTGCTTTAGTGTAGTTCATGATGGGTGATAGTTTGGAAGATAGAAATAGGGTTTTTGGCCGATGCTAGTGGCCATTGTTTGTAGGGAAGGTTCTTTGTCGAAACCATAGAACCATCGGGTTTAGGGTGAAGATGTAAGATCTTATGTTGTGATTGCCACCACCCAAAAAGCATTTCCCCATGTCCAAGATAATTGCCATTCATTTGAACCCGTGTATAAGACCTCTGGTCAAGCTAGTGATGACAACCGTTCATGAACTCTAGCTTTTAGAGGTTTCCGCTATAACACCTTAGGTGAATCCAACATCGACAAAGCATGGGAGAGATCCATGGCTCATAAGTAAGCAACCGACCTTAACTCACAAGACGTGTTTTGGGGTGAAACAGAGGAGTTCTTGTGAGAACTCTGAAGTACGTGCTTAGTGTGGAGTACAACAAGGATGGGTGACCTTATGAGAAGTAACCTTGAATTGCACCCCAAGTCAAAAACCGTGAGGGTCGAGCCCCAAAGCGGACAATATCTTCATCAGGAAAAGGTTCAGGATGTAACTGCCGCCGTGGTGAAGACACGATAGGGCCGAGTGTTGATGATTGTGCACATTCTTTGCACCAAAAGGTCCCAACCCCACTAGTGAAGAGAGTGAGTGATTGATTCTGGTTTTGCATGTCATATCATACCCCGGTGAGGACCTTTGTTGCCCATTCGTTTGTTCCTTGAACTTGAATGTTATGCATGGTTAGTTGTGGTTGATTAGTGATCTTGTTGATACATTCATTGATTCATGAATAAGGTGAGAACTTTTTCGTTTGCCCGTTTTGGTGACCTAGAATGTTTTTTGTGGTGGGTGTCGGTATTGCTTTCACCGATCCATGTGTTAATTGCCAATAGCCATTGAGATTCGCCAGTTTGTTCCCTTTGATTTGTCCCCAAGTTATTTGGTTAGGTTGAGATATTACCTTTTGTGAAATGGTTTGCTTGGGGACAAGCAAACGTGTAAGTGTGGGGGAGTGATTCTGGCCTAAATGTATGCTTTTTATTCACGTTGCTCTTTGACGTTTGTGGCATTTGAGCTCCTAAAAGGGTGGTTTTACGGTAGGTTTCTTGTGTTTCAATTTGTTTCAGAGTCTAACGGGTGAAACCAACTTCGGAGTCGAAAGATGGATGAAAAGGAGCAAAGGCCGGGCAAAGAAGTTTATTCACTCACAGTTCACGGTCAACAAGACTGTGAAGTGGAACCACAAACCGTGAACCGCGAAACGTCCAGAGGGGTTTCAGAGGTTACTAACGCCGAGGTAGTTCACGGTCGTTAAGACCGTGAACTGGGGAATTGACTGTGAACCCCAGAAGTGAAGCGACGCGTTTTGATCAGAGTTCACGGACACGGCCTGAAGTTCATGGCCGTGAACTGGGCGCGATCTGAGTATAAATAGAGATCTGAAAGGAAGAAGAAGGGGGAGCCTAAAGTGAGAGAAACTTTCTTCTTCTTGAAACAATAGAGAGATACTGGGGTTTGCTCCAAGTGAAGATTTTGGAAGTTCCTCTTCAAGAGAGGATCTCTAAAAGCACAAGGAGAGTTGGAGGCATCACAATGATGGTTTCTTTCTTCATCCTCTGTGTTCTTTCTTTGTCTAGCATGGAGTAGTTTCCCTTTTCACTTGGGTGTTGTAGAACTCTAACTTTTACCTTGTTATTGATTGTGTGGATTGAATGATTATGTGATGATGGTGTTTAGTTTAAGAATTGAGGTATTTTTCATGGTGATTGTGCATTGTGTGTGCTTGGCAATGTATTGTGCTATTCTAACCTAGCTTAGAGAGAATCCCCCTTATCTTAAGAGACTCAAATCGAGCTAGGTTTTCTTAGGCATTCCATGCCTCCATACTAGGTTAATGAAGGGCAAATCTCTAACCTGAATTAGACACATAAGTTAATTGTGAATATGTCGTCCAAGCATTGGTTTGAGGGAGAAGCTAAGTCAACCCTCACTTGCTTAAGCCAAGAGGGCTACAATTGTAGCCTATAATGCTTTTCCTGGCCTAGCAATTGAGAGGATGGTTTCTAACCATTGTTGCACCTCCTATGGGTCACAATTTCCTTTTCACACACCGGTTCATTCGATCCCATGGTTCATGGTGGTTAGTTAGGGGTAAGCAACTCCCTAGTGAAGCTTCTCACCAAGAATTTTTCACCCATTACTTTTCAAGTCCGTCTTTTAAATAGTAGATTGTAGAGATTTCAACAAACAACATCCCGCTAGTTAATGTTTCAAACAATCGAAGTAGGGGTACATGGGCCGGCCCGGGTTGATATTTAAATATACTTTCCCTATATTTCACCCATCTAAGGTTTATACTTGGGCCATAGGTGAGATTTTATTGTGATAGTCGGAGTGAGTCATGGTGCATGCTTGCCCGTTTTGCAGGATGGTCTATATCAACCACCCGTACCTTTCGGTACTTAGAGGAAAACCGGAAATGGAAAATGAGCTGAGATTTTGGGCAAGCGCTCACTCTAGAGACCACTTGATTATCGACTTCACCCAGTTCGATGGTCTTAATTGTGGAGATATCATGAGGGAGGCTATGGTGCACCCACAATGGAGCCAGCTCCTTAAATTAAAAGATGACATTTAAGGGGAGCTATATGTTGAGTTTTTCAGTACCTTCACCATCGTGATGCGCACGATGAAATTCCATTTGGGTGGAGAATGCCGCATCCTGACTTTCAATGGGCTAGCCCAAGCCATGGGAGTTCGAGACTCAACTGTAGCATTGTGGGAAGAGGACACCACAAGCGAGTGCAACCTGAATGCAACATTTCGAAGATTTTGCCTCCTGAATCACCGACAAACACTGTTTTAATCAGAACTCACGTCGGCGTCCACACTCAAGCCACAGTGGTGCATCATCAGTGCACTCCTTGCCCGTTCCCGCTACCCGAGCTATCACAATCCGAACAAGATAACCGAGAGGATCTTGCTGGCATTCGCTTGCATGGTGAACCCGTCTAGCAATCTTCATCTTGGTTCAGTCTTGGCCACCTCTTTTGCCAGAGCCATAGGGGAAATCGATGATATGTCACATCAATGGGGCCCTACATTACCCATCTTGCTCGTCACTTTCACGTTAACCTGGAGGGCTCGCCAGGGCCTCCTTCTAGATGATGATCTGCGGCCTTCGACCCGTGATGAGGTAGCCGACGAGTGAGACATGTGGTAGAGCCGATTCATTTTGCCCCACTTTTCCACTTGGTACTCTGAACTCTTTTATTTTATTTTTCTTTCTTTTATTTGGTGTGTGTGAACTACTACTATTATCGTACTATTATGTGCAATAACCTCGCATCGAGCGAGTATGTGTTGTGTTTGTGTGTGTGTCTTTTGTCTTCTCCTTGAAACTAAATCTCATACCCCGGAAAAATTCCAAACTTTCACTCACCAAGCCATGCGGTAACATCATTCTACCCCTATCTTACGCCATTGAGGGCAATGTCAAACTTAAGTGTGGGGAGGGGGTATTAGTCCACGCCCAAATGTGGATTGTCCCAAAATGTTTTATCCCCTAGTCAACCCCTTTGAGCCTAGTGACTTTAGGGAACGTTCTCTTGTAGGAGCTTATTGCTTGTGAGTTTAATGGTGTTTGATAATACGACCCCATCCTTTCTTCGTGTCCATACGTGAGTCATCCTTGTGTCCAGGAGCTCTCGCTTTTGAGTTCCATTGAGGTTCTACATAGGAGGATTTTGTGAGGTTCTTGGTAGGAATGAAAGAGAAAAGAGTAGTGTTGGAGTAAGTTTTGACAAGAGAGCATTGGTTGTTAAATGTAATGTGGAAAGTGTTTTACTCTCTAGTACCCCCTCAAAAAAAAAAAGGAAAGTAGAAAGAAAAAGAATAAAAAAAGAGGTAATAAAATGTGGTAAATGAAGTAGATAGTGCCACAAAAAATCAAAGAGTATGCACTAGAAGGGGTTTCTTGGAACTCAAGCTATTGAAACACCCACATTGTTGTTGAACTCTTTCACTACCATGTAGAAATGTGATAGTAAGAGTAGACTGAGGAAGTGCGCTTAAATGTAGTTCATGATGGGTGATAGTTTGGAAGGGAGAAGTAAAGTTTTTGGTCGATGCTAGTGGCCATTGTTTGTAGGGAAGGTTCTTAGTCGAAACCATTGAACCTTCGGGTTTAGGATGAATATGTAGGACCTCATATCGTGTTGCCATTACCCAAAAAAGACTTTTTCCCCTTGTCTAGGACAATTGCCAATCATTTGAACCAGTGTCTAAGACCTTTGGACAAGCTAGTGATGATAACCGTCCCGTGAACTCTAGCCTTTAGAGGTTGCCGCTGTGGTGAAGACAATAGTGCCGAGTGTTGATGATTGTGCACATTATTTGCACCAAATGGTCCCGATCCCATAGGTCAAGAGAGTGAGAGATTTATTCTTGTTTTGCATTTCATATCATAGCCCGGTGAGGACATTTGTTGCCCATTCATTTGTTCCTTTATGCATAGTAAGTTGTGATTGATAAGTGATCTTGTTGAGACATTCATTGGTTCATGAAGAAGGTGAGAACTTTTCGTTTGCCCGTTTTTGGTGACCTCGAATGTCTTTTGTGGTGGATGTCAGTATTGCTTCCAACGGTCCATGTGTTCATTGCCAATAGCCATTGAGATTTCCCACTTCGTACCCTTTGATTTATCCCCAAATTATTTTGTTAGGTTGAGATATTACCTTGTGTGAAATGGTTTTCTTGGGGACAAGCAAATGTCTAAGTGTGGGGAGTGATTCGGACCTAAATGTACACCTTTTATCCCCGTTTCTCTTTGAAGTTTGTGGCATTTGAGCTGCCAAAAGGGTTGTTTTACGATAGGTTTCTTGTGTTTCAATGTGTTTCAGAGTCTAATAGGTGAAACTAACCCCGGAGTAGAAAGTTTGAAGAAAGGTACAAAGACCAGGCAAAGAGGAGGATTCAGCAACAGTACGCCGTCAAACATTGGAGTTCACAGTCACCAGGACTGTTAACTGGAACCACAAACCGTGAACCGCGAAGTGTTCAGAGGAGTTTTATAGGTTAGTGACACCGAGGCAGTTCACGGTCGCTTAGATAGTGAACTGGAGCCATGGACCGTGAACTCCTTAAGTGAAGCTGCGTGTTTTGATCTGTGTTTGTGGTCGCGGCCTGATGTTCACGAACGTGAACTGGGACTGTGAACTGCCCGCGATCTAACCATAAATTGAGAGCTAAAAGGAAGAAGGGGTGAGCCCAAAGTGAGAGAAACTTTCTTCTTCTTCTTGAAACCCTAGAGAGAGAAAGCACAACCATGAGGGAGAAGAGGCTAGGGTTTGCTCCAAGTGAAGATTTTAGAAGTTCCTCTTTAAGAGAGGATATCTACGAGCACAAGGAGAGTGGGAGGCATCACAATGATGGTTTATTTCTTCTTCCTTTATGTTATTCCTTTGTAGCATGGAGTAGTTTCCCTTTTCACTTGGGCGTTGTAGAATCCTAACTACTATCATGTAATTGATTCCGTGGATTGAATGATTGTGTGATGATGGTGTTCAATTTAAGAATTGAGGTATTTTTCATGGTGATTGTGCATTGTGTGTGATTGGCAATCTATTGTGCTATTCTAACCTTGCTTAGAGAAAAGCCCCCTTATCTTAAGAGGCTCCAATTGAGTTGGGTTCTCTTAGGCATTCCATGCCTCCTAACTAGGTTAATGAAGGGAAAACCTCTAACTTGAATTAGACACCTAGGTTAATTGTGATTATGCCGTCCAAACCTTGGTTTGAGGGAGAAGGTAAGTCAACCCTCACTTGATTGCAACAAGAGGGATACAATTGTAGCCTATAATGCTTTCCTTGGCCCAAAAATTGAGAGGATGGTTTCTAACCATTGTTGCGCCTCCTACGGGTCACAATTGCCTTGTCACACACCAGTTCATTCAATCCCACGACTCATGGTAGTTAGTTAGTGGGAAGCAAGTCCCGAGTGAAGCTTCTCAAAAGAGTTTTCCACCCTTTTACTTTTCAAGTCTTGCTTTCAAATAGTACATTGTAGAGATTTCAACAAACAACATTTCGCTAGATAATGTTTCAAACAATTGAAGTAGGGGTACATGGGTCGGCTTGGGTTGATATTTAAACATACTTGTCCTATATTGCACCCATGTAAGGTTTATACTTGGACCTTAGGTGGGATTTTATTGTGATATTCGGAGCGAGTCAAGTAGGTCGAGTCAAAATTTTCCGGAAATGCCCTGTTTTCACTTCAGTTCACGGTTTGCTCTTGGAGTTCACGGTCTTAATTGACTGTGAACTGCCAAACGCGTCTATGAACCTGGGTGTTCCGTGTTTAGTAAAACTCCTCGTTTTTACCCCAATTCATGGTCCGCGAGTTTTGTTCACGGTATTAGATTCCGTGAAGTGGCAAACGAGTCCGTGGACCTCGAGTCTGACTATAAAAGGGCCTTGAACATCTTATCTTCATTTCACGAGCTAACCTTGCCAGAATCCTTTCAAATTCGTCGGAAAACTGCAATTTTCCGATGAATTTTGACATTTTCACCACCCTCCGGCCGCCCAAATAAAAAACAGATCACAGACCTAGAATCCCCTCATCAAGGGAGGCATTCGCTGAGATTTTGGTTAGATTTGGAATCAATTTTTTCCGCTGAAGTCACCATCGGCGAGCCTCCAACGAATTTCCAGTGAGCTTTCGGTGAAGCTCTGATGACCCTTCTCCGACCTGTTTTTGGCCAGATTTTCACTTCCCTCACCCTGCATTCACTTTCTCTACGATCTTACTTGAGTCTCCAAGTTTGTTTTCAACTTTGCCGTGTTATTTGTGGAGAACCGGATTAGGTAGTGAAGTGAGGAGAATTTAGTGAATTGAATGTTGAACTTAGAAATAGGGTGAGGGATTAGGTGACTTGTGACGCTAGGGCTGGGAAAAGAGTTGCGGTTTCACGGTTAATCTGATAACCGCACCGAAACCGCACGGTTATTGCTTAATTGCAAACCGCAAAAACCACCTATTTTGCGGTTGCGGTTGGAGATATTGGTTGTTTTGTGGTTTGCGGTTTAAAAGCAACCGAAACCGCAAATAGATCTAACCGCAATGCTAACCGTGAAAAATTGGCCCAATCAATTTCCAGCCCATAGTCACAAACCCCAACTCCACCCCAGCCCAACCCGACTCGGCCACTTCCCCCATTCCCCTGTCGAATTTCATTTCCAACAACTTCCAAGTCTGAAAACCCTAAGACCCTAACCCAGCAAGCAGCAGCCAGCTACCCCTCCCGTTGTCGACGACCACAAATCCACACCCCCCACCCCGGCTTCCTTAAGGAGGCACCGCGGCGCCGGTTGTTCGCTCTAGTCTCGACAGCTCTGCTCAAATCAAAAGAAAAGGCTGGGCGAGAACAAGAAGCGGTCGTCGTCCGGTGCCTGCTCGATTAGATCGACGTTTGCTTGACTACCCCGCTGTCGTGTGCCGGCCTGATTCGATCACATCTGTGCAGCCGCCCCGCTATCGTGAGCCGTCACTTCTCTTAGCATCATTTAAGTTTCTGTAATCTGTACTCCTGTAGTGAAATGTCAATATGCTCAACCCGTACCTCCATAGTCCATTCCTCTGCTCGTCCTTCAGAAGTTAGACCAGACCTCCATTCGTCATTTCCTCTGCTACTCTATTATGTTCATATGCTCGAATTTTTCTCCCTAATTGACATTTTCTGAAATTCTGATAGGGAGAAGCAAGGAGCAAAAGGAATGAAAATCAAAGGAAAGTAATTTCAACTCCTGCCGCCAAGACTAAGACTAAGAAGAGACGCAGAGTTGATGAATCAAGTGGAAGTGGAGGACTTGCAGGTGTTGTCGATTCTGTGGCAGCACCTACTCCCGAGGTTGTGGATCATGAGCAACATGTTGCTCGTACTGGTGAAGTAGTTGCAGCAGCTCCAGCAACAAAACAACATGCAAAAAAGAGTAAGAGGAAGGTGTCCAAGACAAAGTCAACAGCATATGAAGAGTACGAACTGTATTACGTACCAAATCCCAATGCCAAGAAACAAGCGGCATAGGGGAAGATAGTGAAGAAGCCGTTGAGGAAGGCAAGATGCTTGTTTTGCAAAACCGAGCTAGCTGCCGATCCACGCAATAATGGTACTTCTGCTCTCCGTACATATACTATTTCTTGTATAAGAAAAAGGGCAAAGTAAGGTGGTCATATGCAATTGAGCCTACAACCAATTGATGAAAGGATGAAAACTTTAGTCAATTGGAAATTTGAGCAAGGAAAAGTTAGGTAAGCATTAGCTCAAATGATGATCATGGATGAGTTGCCCTTTAGATTAGTTGAGAGGGCAGGGTTTAAACAGTTTTGTCTTGCTACATGTCCTATGTTTAAGATCCCATGTAGAAAGATTACTAGAGAAGATTGCTTCAGATTGTTTGTTGATGGGAGGAAGAAACTGAAGAATTATTTCCATGACAAGTGTGCTGGCAGGGTGTCTCTTACAACAGATTATTGGACTTCTGTTCAGAACTTTAATTATTCGAGTTTGACTGTTCACTTTGTTGGTAATGATTAGAAGTTACATAAGAAGATCATTGGGTTTCGTCGCATTACTAGTCACAAGGGTCTTGATATTGTTGACTCTATTGGGAGAATTTTGGAAGAATGGGGCTTGAAGGATGTGTTTACCATCATGGTTTACAATGCTTCTGCAAATGATACAACAATTGGTTGTTTGAAGGATAAATTGATGAATTGGGGTAGTAGTGTTAATGATGGGGCATATTTGCATATCCGTTGTGTGGCTCATATAGTTAATCTCATTGTCAGTGACGGATTGGAGGAAATTGGGGTGGTTGTCATTCGAATTAGGGAGGCTGTGAAATGGGTTCGTGCTTCACTTGCAAGGTTGGAAAAGTTTAAGAAATGTGCTAGATTTCATCACATTGAGTGTAAGAAGATGTTGTGTTTGGATGTTCCAACTAGGTGGAATTCCACATATTTAATGTTGGAGTCAGCTAAGGTGTATGAGAAGGAATTTAACTCCTTGAGACTGAGGATGGGGAGTTTCGGGCTGATCCCTTGAAGGTAAAGAAGTACAAGGGTGAGGAAATTAGTCCTCCAACTGAAGCAGATTGGGAGAGTGCAAGAAACTTGTGCCAGCACTTAAGTTACTTTCATGAGCTTACCTTACTCGTTTCAGGTACGAAGTATGTGACTTCTCATCTATTCCTGAGAGAGCTTCTTCATATTTTTCACCAGATCAAAGAAATAGAGGCTAGTGAGGAAGAGGAGGTAAGAAATATGGCACTTAGGATGCATGCAAAGGTAGGAAAGTATTGGTATGAGGTGGAGAATGATAATTCAAGAATGAACAAGCTTTTCTACATAGCAGTGGTGTTTGATCTTATGCACAAAATGAAGTATCCCATTTATATTTTGAGGAAGTTATATGGACAAGCTAGAGGGGATGAGTTGGCTGGATATCATCAGAGTGAGCTTAGTTCCTTGTTTAAGGATTACCAAAGCAAAGGAAAACCTGCTACTCAAAGTCAAGGCCAAGGGTCACAATCTGGGATTGGGAGTGTAGAAATGACTACTCCTGGTGAGGTGGGCAGCCTTGTGCCCAATGTCGGAAGGCGTGTCTGTGATGATGATTATGAAGCGTGAGAGGAAATTGCTCAATCATCCGAGTTGGACAGATATTTGGTAAAGATTCATGAACGAGATGCGAAGAATATGAAGTATGATGTGCTGAGCTGGTGGAAAAACAATGCATATCGCTATCCCATTTTGAGCGAGATGGCCAAAGACATATTTGTTGTCCCCATTTCCACAGTAGCTTCTGAGAGTGCTTTTAGTACCGGAGGTCGTGTGTTGGATTCTTTTAGGAGTTCTTTGACTCCTCAAATTGTGGAAGCTCTCATTTGCAGTGAAGATTGGTTAGCAAGCTCAACATTGCCAACTGAGGATTTGGAGGAGTTGGAAGATCTTGACAACGATATTTATTTTAGTTGCTTTAGTTTGTTGAGCTATTGTTACTTTGCTTTCTAACTTAATTCCATTCTAATCTTTGTTTTATTGTTTTAGCATTCAAAACTTTAGTGTGGGATGTGAATACTTCTGCCACAGCTGGACTTGGAAGTGCAGTAAATGCAATGCCCATTGATCGTGAAGCTCCTTCTGTTTCGGTCGGAGTGGGACCTAGTGGTGGAGGAGCTATTAGCAATAGTGATGGCGAGGATAACAGTTCTAATGATGGGGAGGATAGTGAGTAGGATCACCGATCAAGAATGATTGAAGAATTGATGTTTAAGTTCTAGCTATGTCTATGTTTATTTGGTATTTTGGTTAATTTCCTATGTTGTCAAACTTGAGATAGTGGAAAATGGTTTGTACCTTTGTGGATTGTGTTATTGACTTAGCCACTTAGATTGGATGGTTATTTGGATACATGTGAGTCCAATTTGCATTTTATTGCGTTTGTTTTGAAATGATCAGCTATTAGAAGTAGCTGTTGTTTCCTATGCAGATACAGAGGCTTAGTGGAAGTGTAAAATTCCACACAGTAGTTGCTGTTTTTTTTTTTTTTGTTCATGAGTTTTTTCGGTTAGTTTTGCGGTTAGTTTGCTTTTTTTGCTTAACCACGGTTACGTAGACAGATGCGGTTGATGTGGTTTCTACCTCCAGTAACCGCGGTGCATTGTTAACCGCATTTTGTGGTTAACCGCTAACCGTGCCAGAAGGGTTGCGATTGGTCAATATGGGTGTTTTGCGGTTGCAGTTAACTGCAAAATGCGGTGCAGTTAACCGCAACCGCACTATTTCCCACCCCTATGTGACGCATGAATGTTGAATGTGTTTGAATGAGCTTAATTTCACCTTGGTGGGCATAATTTAGGACAAATTGATTTCAATTGTGAAATTTGCCCACCAAGTGCAAAAACATGAACTAATGTGGAATTTTTATGCTTGAGTGGTGGATGGTAGCCACTGTAGCATGGTTTAAATCGTGAAACACCTAGAACCATCTCTCGGTGTGCTTGAGCTTAACTGTTTTAAATAGCATGGACTCTTAGTGGAAATATTAGTGTGGGGGGGGGGATTCGTTTTCCTCCCAATGAGTTGAGATTGACAATTATTTCGACGTGATTCGGGCCTAATTGTACATGTTTTGCCCCCGTTTTACTTAGGGGTTTGTAGCAATTTCACTCCTAAAAGGTTGGTTTTATGCTAGGTTCTTCGTGTTTTAGTGTGTTTCAGGGTTTAACAGATGAAACCAGCCTCAGAGTCGAAAGTTGGAAGAAAAGGATAAAAAACCGGGAAAAGAGGTGAAAAAGGGCCCTTGACAGTTAATCGTGAGGCGTCCAGATCCAAAACAGAGGTTACTGACGCAATGTGAATTCACGGTCACTAAGGGCGTGAACGGAGGTTGTTGACCGTGAACATAACTAAACGAAGCGGTGCGTTTTGCCGCATGCCTGCAGTTCACGGATGCGTTTCATGGTTCACGGCCGTGAACTGAGCTAATCTCTAGTTTAAAAGATGAGATGAGAGGAGGTGAGAAAGGAGAGCCCACTTTGTGTGAAAAGCCTTCTTCATATTTCTAGAGAGAGAAACACGAACAAGAGAGAAGAAGGATAGGGTTTTGCTTCAAGGTGAATTTTGGGAAGATCTCCTCCAAGGAGAGTTCAATAGAAGGGCCAAGAAGATTGGGAGCATCCTCCAAGATGGTTTCCACGTCTTCTCCTTTTGTTTTTCCCTTTTCTAGCATGGAGTAGATCTCCTTTCAATTGGGTGTTGTGAAACCCTAACTCTACCATGATGTAGTTTCTTTTATGTGAATTGGATGATTGTCATTGGGTATTGTTTAATTCAATGATTGAGGTATTATTCATGTTGATTTTACATGCTTGTTCTTAGCAACCTAGGGGTTGTGCATGTTTTGTGCTTAGCATCCTTAGGTTTGTGCATTTTGGTGCTTAGCAACCTAAGGATTGTGCATCATTGTGCTTAGCACCCTTAGGTTTGTGCATGTTGGTGCTAGCAATCTATCTAGCCACCTTAACATAGCTTAGAGAGGACAATCCCCCTTCCAAGGGAGACTCAATTGAGTTTGTTTTCCTTCATCTATCTAAGCCACCTAACTAGGGTAATTTAGGGCAACCCTCAATGTTGAATTAAGAATCGGTTAATCGCGATTAAGTCGTCCGACCTTTGAGTTGAGTGAGGGAGTAAGTCAACTACCAATTGCCTAAACCGAGAGGGTCGAGTGACACGACCTTTGATGTTTACCTCGGTTTAGCAATTGAGATTGTAGTCTCCGACCATATATGCATCCCTCTACGGTTCGCGATTACCTTGCCCAAAACAATCGTTCCAATTCATATTTCATGCTAGTAGTTAGGGGGAAGCGACACCCGAGTGATCGTTCCACAAAAGATTTTTTAAAACCATTTACCTTTGACTTATTTTATTAAAGTTAGCAAACTTTTAAACCAAAACTTTGTTGCGAGATAATGATTAAAACAACTGAAGTAGGGGTAGACGGACCGACCCGGGTTGATATCTAAATACTTGCTCTATACTGTACCCGGCTAGAGTTTAAGAACTTGGACTCTAGTCGAGATTTTATTGTGGTGTAGTTTCGTGCGAGTCAAGTTTTTGGCGCCGTTGCCGGGGACAACGGTCTGTTATCTTGAAAAAGTTGTTGGTTGTTAATTTATCTTTTAATTTCTAGTTTTGCAAGTGTGCGTGTATTGCTTGTGCTAGACTTGGTGTGTTTTCCGATTGTGTGTAGGTGGTGCATGACCCCGAGCAACCCGACACGTTTGCTACCACTTGGCGAGGATATAAACCGAACTCTCCGGCTCCTAGCATGGGAGAGAGAGCTAGCGGAGGCAAGGAGAAGAAGTGAAAGAGGGGGACAATGTTTGAGTCCTGGTGTTAGTGGAGAAGAGGTTGAAGAAGTGGAAGTTGAACCCGTCAAGGTAGTAATAATGGGGGGAACCAAAGGCAAGATGGCACTCAAGCCCGCCAGTTGAAAGAAACGGCGAAGGTTGAGGACGCCCCGATGACGATGGGGTACTATATGGCCCCAAGGTCGACGTACATTCAATCGCCAATCCTACATCCTCCAGTGGCGGCAAACAATTTCGAGATCAAGCCGGCTCTAGTGACTATGACACAAAGTAATGCTCTATTCCAAGGCATTGAGAGCAAGTCACCGAGAGAGCACGTGCAAAGTTTATTGGAGTTCGCGGGGAGCTTGAAAATCAATGGTGTGTTGGCCGAAGCTTTGACACAAAGTAATGCTCTTTCCCATACTCACTCTCGAGGAAAGCACTTAGGTGGCTAAACAACCGCCCACCTCCGTCAATCACCTCATGGGATGACCTCCTCAACAAGTTTATGGCTCGCTATTGCCCTCCTTCGAAGACGGCGGAGTGGAAGAAGAAGATTACCCATTTCGAGCAAGAAGAGGGCGAGAGCTTGAGGGATGCTTGGGAGAGATACTCCGATTACTTTCTTCAGTGCCCTCACCACGGGTTTGAAGAACAGTTTCAGATCGAAACCTTCTACGGAGGCCTAATGCAAGAAGATAAAATTCTCATTGACTCCTTGTGTCAAGGGAAATTGATGAATCTGGCTCCACCCCAAATAACCGAGATACTTGAAGACATGGCCCTTAGGGGATACGACTGGGGGTTGACAAGAAGTGGAAGAAGAAGTAACGAAAGGGGAGTGAGAAGCGTGGGAGCGAGTGCTCCGCTTGAGGCGAAGTTGGATAAGTTGATAGAGGTTATGCTTGAAGATAAGAGGCAAGGAAAAAGGCCGGTAATGTCGTGCGACTGGTGCTCGAGCACTAGCCATTAGATGGCGGAGTGTCAAGCAATGAAGGAGGCAACCACTCTGGAGGAGCAAGTCAACTTCGTGGCAAATGCTTGGGTTAACAATCTGTATAGCAATACTTATAACCCCAGATGGAGGAACCACCACAACTTTTCTTAGGCATCACAGACAAATCCAAGGCCCCACGGAAAATTTCCAACCTCGACCAACCTTCATCCAATAAAGGCGTCAAATTAAAGGCTCAAGTTTCCAACAACCGTACCAAGCACAAGGTGGCCAAGGGTTTCAACAACAACCCGACAAGCTATCTAAGCTTGAAGACCTAGTGAACACCTTTGGGAGTACGAGTAGCCAAAAGTTCGAGAAGATAGAGCAATTTATCGATGTGGCGACTACCAAGTTTACCTCGGTTGAGGCGGGTCTCCGAAGCCATCAAGCGAGCCTCCAAAGCTTGGAGGTGCAAATCGGCAACCTTTCCGGCATCCTCACCGAGAGACCCAAGGGAGCTTTACCTTCCCCAAACTTGACGAACCCCAAACACCATGCCGAGATAAATGCGCTTCAAGTGAGGAGTGTGAAGGTGATTCCGGAGGTCGCCACTAATGAAGTGATGGAGAAGGAAGATACCAACAAGCAAGAGACCAACCCAAAGAGGGGAGAAGGGAAGCCCTGAAGGCGGCAAGGAAGGCATTGCCGGAGGATGGATACACACCACCTCTTCCTTATCCCATAAGGATGTACAAGGAGAGGTTGCAGAACGAGTGTGGAGGTTTCATGGAAATGCTCTACAACCTCCACCTCAACATCCCTTTCCTTGAAGCCATGGCTGAAATGCCAAGATATTCCAAGTACCTCAAAGGATTCCTCACCAAGAAGCCAAAGCTTGAAGGCCTAGCCAACGTGAATCTTGGCGAGGAGTGTTCGGTTTACCTCCTCGACCGCTTGCCCAAAAAGCGGTTCGACCCAGGTAGCTTTACTATCTCTCTTGATATTGGTAACCATCATATAGTCAATGCCTTGGAGGACCTAGGAGCTAGTGTTAATGCGATGCCCCACAAGCTTTTCAAAAAGTTAAAAGTAGGTGAACTTAAGACCTCTAAGCTTAGCATCACCTTAGCCGACCGTTCGGTCAATAGCTCGAGAGGAATTGTAGAGGACATGATGGTATGAGTGTGCAAGTTTTGCTATCCGACCGATTTCGTTATTCTCGACATAAGTGAGGTCGGTATGCCACTCATCCTCGTTTGACCCTTTCTTGCCACCACCAAGGCGTTGATAGACGGTAATGAGGGGACCTTAATTTTGAGGGATGGTAAGGAGAGAATCAAGCTTGAAATTGATCCTAGGGTTACGAGTGATGAAGTGAAGGGAGTAGTTTCAAATGATGTGAATGAGAGTGGAGGAGAGCCTCTCAAGGCAAACCCCACCATTATTTTTGTTGCTTTTGGTGATGTTGAGCAGGAATTTAAGAAGGGTCCTATGCACAAAGGATCGAGGATGAATGTTTGGAGAAGAAGGATGAAGGGAGCTTTGGCCCAGAAGATGGGGGAGGCCGAAGCAATGTTGGCCAACCAAGAGCGCCAACTCAAGGAGCCTAAGATGGGAGGCTACAAGCCCCGCCCCGAGAGTGTGGTGGATCCGCTCTCAGTGGCATCACGCTCAAAGTCGTGATCGATCCCCAACTGTCAAGCTAATGACGATAAATTAGCGCTTATTGGGAGGCAACCCAACGGAGGTTTGTTTTCTTTTCCTTAGTTTTTGTTTTAGTGACTTGTGAAGAGTTCAAGTGGTGAAGTGGTGTCCCCGTGGTGAGTGTTGTGGTTTTTTGGTTTATGTGGTTGTGTTGTGATCGATTAGGAGGCACGGAGGAATAGGTTGAGTCAAAATTTTATTAGAAGTGCCATGTTTTCACTTATGTTCACGGACGGATCGCTGCACACGTGTCCGTGAATTGGGTATTGATGCTTGATCACTACCTGTCGACCACTCCATGTTCACGGATGTATTTGAGAGTTCACGATTGCTGAGACCGTGAACGGGGCAACGCATCTGTGAAATCCGAGTCGTTCTTATAAAGGGACGTGAACGGCGACTCTTCTCTTCATGACCAAATCTCGCTGGAAATTTCAAATCTTTCCCCCATTTCCGGCGAGCAAAACCCAAAACCAAAGTCATACCCAGCCTCCACTCCTCAAAAGCGGCCTATGCTGAGATTTTGGGGAGATTTGGAACACATTTTTTCCCGCCAAGTCACCGGCGGCGAGTCTTCGACGAGCGTCGGACGAAGCTCTGGCGACTCTTCTCCGCTCAGTTTTCCGATCGTTTTTCACCATCCTCGCCCGCACCTCACTTCCTCCTACGTCCTACTTGTGTCTCCAGGTTTGTTTTTCGACTTTTACCTTTTTGATTTTTGGAGAATCGGATTAGGTAGTGAAGTGAGGTTGAATTTTTGTGCTTTGCATGATTGAATCTTGATTTACGGCAAGGAATTAAGTGAATTAGGTCGATTGAATGATGGATTGATTTTTGCATGAGCTTAGTGAGCCTTAGTGGGATGTTTGAACTGAATTGTGTTTATTTTAAGAATTTGCCCACCAAGTGCTATGTTATGAATGCAAGTGAAGTTTATTCTTGTTTGGTGGATGATAGCCACCGTGGTAAGGGTTGTGGTTCAAGTTTTTGTGTGCTTGAACCGTGAATTAACCACAACCATGCCACGATGGTTTGAGCTTAAATGTTTGATAACCATGGTGGAAAAACAAGTGTGGGGGGAATCTCGTTTCCTTCCAATGAGCATTATTTGACGAATGTTTCCACGTGTGGTGTATGCTTCATTGTTTGTGCAGGATGGTTAACATGGATCACCCATACCTTGTGGCGCTAAGGAGCATCCCTGAAATGGAACGAGAGGTGTATTTTTGTGCATCTTTGAGGGTCGATAACCATTGGAAACTCGACTTTTCCCTGTTCGACAAGCTTCATTATGGTGACGTTATGAGGGAGGCAGTGGTGCACCCACAATGGCGCCAAGCCCTTGATCTTGAAGATGACACTTACGGGGAGCTATGCGTCGAATTTTTCAGCACCTTCACCATACACAAGATCCTATGCCTACTCGATCATCCAGTAAGCCGGGTCGAGTTTCGATTGGGAGGGGAAATTCAAAATTTGAGCTATGATGAGTTAGCCAGAGCCCTCGGAGTGGAAGTCAAACATGAGGACGAGTGGGAGGAAGATGCCATCCGAAGTTTTGACGTGAATCCCGCGTTCCTGAAGTTTTGTCTTCCAAAGTACCGGAGGACAAAGTTCAAGTCGACCTGCACAACAACATCCACACTCCAGCCCCAGTGGCGTGTCATTGTTGCACTCCTGGCTCGTTCCCTCTACACGGCTTACCACAACCCGAACAAGATAATCGAGAGAATCTTATTGGCTTGTTATTGCATGGCGGACCGGTCTAGCACTATGCACCTGCTCATGCACCCGGCCGCGGCCGCCGCCCAGCGATCCAGCGCCCTACACAGCAGCCACCACCACCAGCAGTAGGCAACGCCCTCGTCAAGAGGGTGGAACGCCTAGAGACGAACTTCATGGGATTCTCATCTTGCCTCGACTAGCAGACCGACATCCTCGAGCTTATGGCTCACCGCCTGGGTATCTTACTAGATGCTGAAGAGGGTCCTTCCACCGGAGAGAGGTAGCCGACGAGTGAGACATGAGGCAGAGTGGAGTTCTTTCGCCCCACTTCTCTACTTGTAACCCTGAACTTGTTTTAAATTTTATTTTTTGTTATTTTCTTCACTTTGTGTTTGTGTGACGTAAACTACTACTATGTATTGTGCTTGTAATAACATCGCCTCGAGCGAGTTGTATTGTGTTTGTGTGTGTTTTTGTCTCTCCTTGAAGCTCAGATTATCATACCCCGGTTTGATTCCAACTTTCACTCACCAAGCCCAAGCGGTAACATCATTCTACCCCTTTCTTACGCCATTGAGGGCAATGTCGAGTTTAAGTGTGTGTGTGGGGGGGGGGGGTAGTTTACTAGTACGCTTGTGGGAGTATGATTGATGCTTGGAGCCTTTTGTATCCCCAAATTTCAAAATTTTGAGGGATCCAAGCAATGTTTGGATGAGCAAAATGGCTGGATGGTGGGAAATTCTCTTGTTTATTGGCATTGATCCTGACTTGTTGCATGCGATCGAGTATATCCTATAATGAGGACTGAGAAGTTCATTAGGATAGGGCAAAAGTTTAGTTCTCAGGTGTGCATAAATGAATCGATGTCTTGACTTGATCACTTGTTGCTTACAATTGCCATGCATCATGTTTGTGAATTGGAATAGATGGGCGGGTAACTAGGTAGCCTGTGAGCTTTGAGCCGATCGTTTGCTTCCGGTGTGATAGTTCCCTCTTACCACGGTGTATAGCATCACAGTTGTCACTAGCATGTATAATGAAGGCATAGGGTTAGTCCACGCCCAAATGTTGATTGTCCCGAATTGTGTCATCCTTTAGTCGACCCCTTTGAGTCGTGCGACTTCGAGGGTCGTTCTCAGTTTAGGAGCGTCGTGCGTGTGAGCTTAAAGGTGTTAATAGAATGACCCCCAATCCTTTCTTCGTGTCCAAACATGAGTCGCCCTTGTGTTCTGGAGCTCTCACCTTTGAGTTTCTATAGAGGTTCTACATAGGAGGTTTGTGTGCGGTCCTTGCTAGGAATGATAAAAATGAAGTGTAGTGTTGGAGTGAGTTCCTCAAAAAGAGAGCATTGGTCGTCAAATGTATAGGTGGGAAGTGTTTTTACTCTCTAGTACTCCCCTCAAAACGAAAAGAAAAGAGAAACGAAAAAAGAGGTAATAAAATGGGGTGAATAAATGTATAGGTGGCAAGTGTTTTTACTCTCTAGTACTCCCCTCAACAAGCCATTGAAACCCCCCACATTGTTTTATAACTCCTTCACTACCAAACCTTAATGTGCTAGCAAGAGTAGACCGAGGAAGAGTGCTTCAATATAGTTCACGATGGGCGATAGTTTGGAAAGGAGAGATAAGGGTTTTGGCCGATGCTAGTGGCCTTGGATTGAAAAGAGGGGTTTTAGTCGAAACCATAGAACCTTCGGGTTTTGGTTGAAGATGTAGAACCTCACGTCATGATTGTCACAACCCAAAAATCCTTTTTCCCATGTCCAAGATAATCGCAGTCATTTGAACCCGTGTCTAAGACCTCCAGACGAGCCAGTGGTGCCAACCATCCCGTGAACTCTAGCATCTAGAGGTTACCGCCGTGGTATTGAGAAGATAGGGCTGACAGTTTATGATTGTGCACATCTTTTGCACCGAAAAGGTCCAAACCTCACTAGTCTTGAGAGTGAGTGATTCATTCTTGCTTTGCATGTCATATCATACCCCGATGAGGACCTTTGTTGCCTTTCCATTCGTTCCTCGGACTTGAATTCCATGCATGGTCGGTTGTGGTTGATAAGTGGTCTTGTTGCGACTTGCATTGACCCATGAATAAGGTGAGAACTTTTTGTTTGCCCGTTTTTGGTGGCTTCAAATGTCGTTTGTGGTGGACGTCGGTATTGCTTGCAACGGTCCATGTATTGATTGCCAATAGCCATTGAGAATTCCCACTTTGTGCCCTTTGAGTTGTCCCCAAAGTATTTGTGTAGGTTGAAATATTACCTTGTGTGAAATGGTTTGCTTGGGGACAAGCAAACTTCTAAGTGTGGGGGAGTGATTCGGGCCTAATTGTACATGTTTTGCCCCCGTTTTACTTAGGTGTTTGTGGCAATTTCACTCCTAAAAGGTTGGTTTTATGCTAGGTTCCTCATGTTTTAGTATGTTTCAAGGTTTAACAGATGAAACCAGCCTCGGAGTCGAAAGTTGGACGAAAATGATTGAAACCGGGAGAAGAGGTGAAAAGGGGCCAGTTCACGGATATCCAAGGAAGTTCACGGTCTTCCACGACCGTGAAGAAGAGCCCTTGACCTTAAATCGTGAGGCGTCCAGACCCAGACAGAGGTTACTGACGCAATGTGAGTTCACGGTCACTAAGAAGTGAATGAAGCGGTGGGTTTTGGTGCTCGCCTGCAGTTCATGGACGGGTTTCATGGTTCACGCCCGTGAACTCAGACTATGAATTGAGCTCGTGTCTGGTTTAAAAGATTAGCTTAAAGAAGGAGAGAAGGAGAGCCCACTTTGTGTGAAAAGCCTTCTTCATATTTCTAGAGAGAGAAACATGAACCAAGGGAGAAGAAGGCTAGGCTTTGCTTCAAGGTGGATTTTGGGAAGATCTCCTGCAAGGAGAGTTCAATAAAAGTGCCAAGAAGATTGGGAGTATCCTCCAAGATGGTTTCCACCTCTTCTCCTTTTGTTTTTCCATTTCTATCACGGAGTATATCTCCTATCACATGGGTGTTGTGAAACCCGAACTCTACCATGTAGTTTCTTCTATGTGAATCGGATGATTGTCATTGGGTATTGTTTAATTCAATGATTGAGGTATTATTCATGTTGATTGTGCATGCTTGTGCTTAGCAACCTAGGGGTTGTGCATGTTTTGTGCTTAGCATCCTTAGGTTTGTGCATTTTGGTGCTTAGGATTGTGCATAATTGTGCTTAGCACCCTTAGGTTTGTGCATGTTGGTGCTAGCAATCTATCTAGCCACCTTAACCTAGCTTAGAGAGGCAAATCCCCCTTCCAAGGGAGACTCAATCGAGTTGGTTTTCCTTCAGATTTCTAAGCCACCTAACTAGGTTAATATAGGGCAACCTTCAATGTTGAATTAAGCATCTGTTAATCGCGATTAAGCCATCCGACCTTTGAGTTGAGTGAGGGAGTTAGTCAACTACCAATAGCCTAAACCGAGAGGGTCGAGTGACACGGTCTTTGATGTTTACCTCGGTTTAACAATTGAGATTGTGGTCTCCAACCATATATGCATTCCTCTGCGGTTCGTGATTACCTTGCCTAAAATAATCGTTCCAATTCACATATCATGGTAGTAGTTAGGTGGATCGACACCCGAGTGATCCTTCCACAAAAGAGTTTTCAAAACCATTTACCTTTGCCTTATTTTATTATAGTTAGCAAACTTTTAAACCAAAACTTTGTTGCTAGATAATGATTAAAAAAACTGAAGTAGGGGTATATGGACCATACCGGGTTGATATCTAAATACTTGCTCTATACTGCACCGGGCTAGAATTTAAAAACTTGGACTCTAGTCGGAATTTTATTATAGTGTAGTTTCATGCGAGTCATCATGTATGGTGCATGTTTGACTGTTTTGCATGATGGTTGACACGAACCACGAGTCCATTAGCTATTTGGTGAACCCGGAGCGGTTCGGGGCAAAGTTTGCTTCTCAGATGGACAGTCTGGTTGGACCTCACTGGATGCTAGACCTGGACATGTTTAACATGTTCAGGTGCCTAGCCGTGATGTCTAGGGTTGCTTGTCACCCCCAGTGGCGCCAGTTGGTTACGATGGATGAGCTCATATACCAAGAGCTCTGCTTTGACTTCTACTCCACCTTCTCACACGTAGTCCTGACCAGCAAGAGAAGTCGGCCCCACGTGGAGTTCATGCTTGGAGGTTAGCCGCGGGTGCTGACATATGACGCCTTCGCCAGGCCATGGGGTTGGACACCAAATAGATGACGATGACGGAGCGGCAGTACACAGTCGAATTCCATCATCAGGCCGTGTTCCAGGCCCTCTGCCGCCCGAGCACGAGCATGATGAGTTCGAGGCTGGCCACACCAATGTGGTGAAGCTGCCGACCTAGTGGAAGATCATGCACACTTTGCCCTCCATTCTATGAGGCATCCCGCCGAGCCACTCCATCAAGGATCATTGGCTGCCACCACTTTCTCCCGATGTCTGGGGCGGAATAGGGTAGACACCATGCATATCGGGGCATCATCACGAGACTAGCCCGGTACTTCAACATGGACGTGACGACGGGCTCCATAGTTGGTCGGACCGAGCCCTTCCCACCGGAGCCTCTCTACAACATGAAGCTGGTACTTCAAGGAGAGCGAGGATCGAGTACCTCGACGGACTTTGACCCTCAGAAGCTATGAGGCCGGCATTTGACCCGGCTCCAGTGGAGCCCGATCCAGAGGTCCCACCACTAGAGCAGCCACCTGCTAGAGGTCCCGCCTGCCGCCGCCTCGCGCTCCCGTGGCCTGCACTACCACCACCACTAGTAGCAGTATACGAAGCTAGACCTTCCACCTTCGGGCATCACCTCGTGGAGAGGATGAATCACCTCGAGACCCACGTTGTGGGAGTCACTACCCGGCTTGACCGGACCACCGACTTGCTGGAGCAGATGGCCCGTCCCCTGGGTATCCTCCCAGATGATGGGTAAGGACCTTCGACCCGTGAGAGGTAGCCGACGGGTGAGACATGTGGCAGAGCCGATTTCTTTCTCCCAACTTCTCCACTTCTCCACTTGGAACTCTGAACTCTTTTATTTTATTTTTCTATCATTTGTTTGGTGTGTGTGAACAACTACTACTACTATTGTATTGTTATGTGTAATAACCTCACATCGAGAGAGTATGTGTTTATGTGTGAGTTTTTGTCTTCTCCTTGATGCTCAAATCTCCTACCCCGGAAAAATTCCAACTTTCACTCACCAAGCCATGCGGTAACATCGTTCTACCCCTATCTTACGCCATTGCCGGCAATGTCAAATATAAGTGTGTGTGTGGGGGGGGGGGGGGGGGAGTCTATTATTATGCTTGTGTGAGTGTGATAGAATGCTTGGAACCTTGATGTATGCCCAAATTTAAGGGATCCAAGCAAATGTTTGCATGATCAAAGTGGCCGGTTTGTGGGAGAATCTCGTGTTTATTGGCATTGACCATGAATTGTTGCATGTGATTATTGAGTGTGTCCTATGATGATGACTGAGAGGTGCATTAGGATAGTGAAAAGTTTTAGTCCTCATGTACGCATAAATGAATGGATGTCTTGACTCGATTACTTGTTGATTACAATTGCCATGCATTGTGTTTCGTGAATTGGAATAGATGATTGGACAACTAGGTAGCCATGTGAGTTTTGAGCCAATAATTTTCTTCTAGTGTGCCTAGAACCCTCTTACCATGGCGAGTAAAATCATAGTTGTCACTAGTGAGTATGATGGAAGCATAGGATTAGTCCACGCCCAAATGTTGATTGTCCCGAAATGTTTTATCCCCTAGTCAACCCCTTTGAGTCTTGTGACTTTGGGGGTCGTTCTCTAGTAGGAGCTTATTGCTTGTGAGCTTAATGGTGTTTGATAGAACGACCCCCATCCTTTCTTCGTGTCTATATGTGAGTCATCATTGTGTCTCGAAGCTCTCGCTTTTGAGTTCCATTGAGGTTCTACATAGGAGGATTTTGTGCGGTTCTTACTAGGAATGAAGGAGAAAAGAGTAGTGTTGGAGTAAATTATTAAAAGAGAGCATTGGTTGTTAAATGCAATGTGAAAGGTGTTTACTCTCTAGTACCCCCCCCCCCTCTAAAAGAAAAGAAAGAAAAGAGAAAAAGAAATAAAAGAAAACTAGAAAGAAAAAGAATCGACGAAGAGGTAATAAAACGGGGTAAATAAAGTAGAGAGTGCCACAAAAATCAAAGTATATGCTCTAGAACGTCTTACATTCATAAACCAAGGAGGATACTAGCAATTCATGGTTCAATCAATCATGATAATCACTTAAACATTCAGACACATCCCATAACACTTGAGCAACTCATTGTCCTCAATGTGGGAGTTTCATAAGAGAAGATCATAAAGGTACACAAGTGTAGGTCTTTGTCTTACTGGTGGCTTTCACAGTGATAAAGCGCCTAAGAAAGAGATGAAGATGATTAAGAGTTATAGATACGATAGATATATAATATAAGTATGAATACTACTAGTGCTACAACATTTAAAGTACGAAAAGTAAGCGAAAATGCAGTAGTTAAAGTACTATCCAAAATAAGCAATAAAAATATGAAACTGAAATTGTCAGAAGTTCAAACTAGAATACTCCACGGTGGGACCCGGCGGCGGTGGTGGTTGATGCTGAACCCCATCTACCTGGGGTATGGGGTTGTTCCCCAAGATCTGATTCACCGGGGGAACATGGAGAGGTATCCCCTGAGGCGGGTTATGTTCGCCTTCCATCTCGTACTCATCCTCGGAATCGCTGCTCAAATGGCCGTCTATGCGCTCCTTCATAGCCAGTCTAGCTCGCTGTTGTCTCCTAAGTTGGCGACAGGTGCGTTCAAGCACCGGATCCAACGGCAGTAAACCTCCTGTCTGGCTACGGGTCATGCACTACCTGCACACAATCAAGCAGCAAACCCGTGAAGGCACAAGTGTGACAAAGCAAACAATGCTAAAAAGAAAAGCTAAATTAACAGAAACCACGTTTCTTCAACAACCTAGCCGTCCCCGGCAACGGCGCCAAAAACTTGACTCGCTCCTACTGTCACTCTAGAAAATGGCCAAGTGTAACCACCTCCTAAAGCGTAGTACAGCGGGTTTGGGTTTTAATGTCAACCCGGGTCCTAAGTGTGATGACTACTCCGTGAGTTCTTATTATTTAGCAGTGAAAGTGTAGTGAAGATCCAAAGAAGCAACCAAGCAAAGCAAGTAAAAAGGTTGTTGTCAAGTCGAGAGAGGTCACCCGGATATGGTTCCCCCTAGACTGCAGTTAAGCCGAATTGTAATTTACCAAGTTGAATTCGAATGATAGTTATACTGCGGGAGGTTCTTAAACAGTCTGCAGTCTCGACTAAAGGTCTCCAGACCCTCTCAATCTGAGTCCCCAGCGGGCAACTAACCTTCACCCGAGTAAACAGATTGAGGCCCTAACGAACCAAACCTTCACTACCGAAGTAAATCCAGTACAGAATAGTGAATTGACTCCTTGACTAAAGTCGTCAATTCACTACCTTCAATCAAGGACGCTCTATCAACCTAGGCAGATATTCTCTTTCTAGGTCAAAGCAGAAATAACAGGAATTTGATCAGGATTCATGCCATTCAACAAATCAAACCTCAATTGAACATAATCATATCACCGAATCTGTACTTGGGTTCATACAATCAGACATAACATACAAATCTAGGGTTCTTCATACCCAGGTGAATAAGAAAGTTACTCCATAAAGAGAGATGGGAAATCTAGCTCAGATGCGGAAACCATACTGTGAAGGATGAGAATCTGCTTCTGCTTCTGGCACTCAATCAGTTCTTCTCCAAGCTCATGTCAGGCACTCAATCAGTTCTTCTCCAACATCTCAAACGACTCTAGAATAGGGGTAAAAACATGTGCAATCAATGGTCTATCAAATTTCCCCACACTTAACCGTTTGCTTGTCCCCAAACAAACCTATTTCAAACCAATGCAACTCTCCATACCTCTATAGCAACAAACAACCCCGATCGTCGGTAGAGGATTTTCTAGATCATAAAGCAGCTTACGAGGTCAACTGGTCTTCTAAGACGTCCCCTATCTCTCTCAATGCGAGTACTAGACTCAAGCCAGGATCATGAGAAGAAGTAGAAGTAAGATAGTCAGTTCATGGATAAAGGGACTCAAACCGTTCACAACCAAGGACTCGTTGTACCGAGGTGCTCTTTCACTTCATTTCACCGTTGGAACCCCTTTTTGCACTTTCATTTATATTTCTCTTGTTTTTTTTCATTCACTTAGCGGGGGTTCCAACTGCAGTCTTTTGCACGATCGACCCTTATTAGTCAAGCAAGAGCAATTTCTGTACATCTGGCACTCGCCAGAGTACTTCTTTTAACTCCTTTTCCACAACTCGTGTGGAGGATCAATGAAATTAAGGGGGGGTCGGAAGCTCTATCCGTGCCCTTAAAAACACATCCTCAAGTAGGCAAACCGTTCAACGGGTGGAAGTTTTACTTGTACTAGAGACAGCTTGGCTTCACCTTGTAGGAGTACCCCACTAATGATCACTAAATTCTCCTCCAAACCCCGATTTTGTGCAATAAACGGTGCCACACACGTTGGGCTTGCCCCATGTTTAAGATTTCCATGATTTCGACATGGAGGACCACGAGTACATCATCCAAAAGAAAAATAAAAGGAAAGAAAATAAACCGACACACAAGACAGTTTGCACTTTGACAGAAACAAAAACAACAGAAAACGGGGCCATGAGTACAGCCTACTCGACCCAGGTGAAGTCGATCTGATCCATGAGGTCGTCGACCCCATCAGTCGCTGGTCGTGGTGGTGAGTGGTCCCACCGAGTGGTCCAGTGGTGCTCCTCTGGTGGGGCCATGATCCCACTCCCGCTCGATGAGAGCACCAGTGACTCCCATCTGGGCCTCCATCCGGTCGAGGCGCTCATTTACAACTGTTATCCTAGACTGGTACTCGGCCTGTTGGGCCGAATACTGCTGGTATAACTGGACCTGATGGTCCATGAGTTGCTGGTTCTGAAGTCCGAGCTGCTGGAACTGCTCCGTAAAGAAATCCATCGACGGGCCAGAAGCCATCGACGGACCAGAAGGACCAGAGGAGAACTAGCCTCTCTCGGATCTCCGTCGTGGCTGAAGGTCCCCTGGTGGAGAGAGCGGGGGCTCCGACTCATTAGCATCCATGGCCCCGCCATCATCATCATCATCCTCTTCTCCGCAGGAGTAGTCATCGTCCTCCTCGAGATCCGCATCCTCCTCAGGGGGCAAGGAGAGCCCATCCACCCAGGAGCGGGTGCCATCAATGGCAAGGAGGAGTGCATTGTGAAGCATGTCCCGGCTGAGGGGGTGGAGCTGCCCCGTGCGGAAGAATCCGTGAGTCCCTCGAAGTCGATGTCGAGTGACATGCTCCTGCAAAATCAACAAACCAAAGGTGGAGCCAAGAAAAACTCATCAGGACCAACAGTATGGGTTCATCACTTCCCCCACACTTAAGGACCACCTAGGCTAACAGTTTAAGCATAATCGGTTGAATCGCAAGCAACTCAACCGTAATCAAGGCAAGAATCAAACATAACCGACCAATTCAATCACACGGGCAGCACACATACAGTAGCCATAGCCATTAATACTCAAGGCATCCCTCACCCTATCCTAATTCAATCATGTCAGGCAACACACAGTTCTCAGTCCTACAATCTACAGTTCGATTTTCCAGAAAGAGAATAGTTAACAAGAAACACACCTGAAACTCAAGTGGAACTGTAGATGAGATGCAAAGAGATGGGCGAGGGACGCGAAATGACGCTAAAAAATGACCAGGGAAGCTCGCCGGAAAATTGGTCAGAAAATAGCCGGAAAGTCTCCGGAAAAGCGACCAGCGACGGCGGCGGAGTGTGGTGGCCGGCGGTCGCCAAAGAGGAGATAGGGCAGAGGATTTTGAGAGGAAGAGAGGGGAAATTTGGAAAAAAATGAGAGGAGAGAGAGAAACGACTGGGGGTTTGCTTAAATAGCAAAAATCCCCGGTCGGGTATTTAGAGGCAACGGCCGGGGGTTTTGGATACGGCGCGTTTTAATTGCATGGAAATCCCCGGCCTTGAGCCAAAAATTTCTGGTCGGGTATTTTTGGGTCAAGGTCTGGGGTTTCGAAAACGCCGCGTTCCAAGGCTGGGAAATCCCCGGCCTTGAGCCAAAAATACCCGGTCGGGTATTTTAGGGTCAAGGTCGGTGATTTGCCCTATGGGCGCCCCGGAAGGCAAAAAGGGTCCCGGTCATGGGCCAAAAATACCCGGTCGGGTATTTCTGGTCACGACCGGGTATTTTCCCCTTCCAGCCAAAAAATTCATTCCCCCAATTTTTCGACCTACCCTGCACGAAAACACCAAACCGAGGCATAACAGATGACCAAACTTCAACACAGACATGCAACTGACTAAACATGACACAAAAACACAGAAAAAGGGAAAAAGAAATGCAAACCGTGGTGGGGGTTGCCTCCCCAAAAGCGCTTCTTTACCTTCATATAGATGGACGCCCATGGAGGAATTAAGGGTCCGCGAGTTCCACTACCAACTCCGCACGTTTGACCTTGTCCCCCAAGTAGAGCTTGAGACGATGGCCGTTTGCTTTAAACGGTTCAGTCTGCGGGTTGGCAATTTCAATCGTGCCATACGGGAGAACCTGTGTGACCGTGAACGGTCCAGACCACCGGGAACGGGGTTTTCCAGGAAAGAGCTTCAGGCGAGAGTTATAAAGGAGAACTCGATCACCAACCTGGAACTCTTTCGGACCCCGCAACCGTGCATCGTGCCGGCGCTTAGTGCGCTCCTTGTACAGCTTGGTCTTCTCATAGTCGTGGTAATGCCATTCCTCCAGCTCCAGCATCTGCATTTTGCGCTCAACACCTGCAACACTAACATCCAAGTTGAGCAGATTAAGGGCCCAAAAGGCCTTGTGCTCAGCTCCACGGGCAAATGACATGGCTTTCCATAGACAAGCCGGTATGGTGAAGTACCAATGGGTGTCTTGTAGGCAGTGCGGTATGCCCAGAAAGCATCATCGAGCTTGGTGGACCAATCCTTGCGGGACTGATCCACCGTCTTTTTGAGGATACGCTTGACCTCCCGGTTCGTCAGCTCGGCCTGGCCACTTGTTTGAGGGTGATAGGCCACGGACACCTTATGAGTAACACCATAGCTAGACAGTAACTTATCAACTGGCCCTGGAAATGGGTGCCTTGATCGCTTATGATGGCTCTAGGTGTCCCGCACCGGGAGAATAGCTGCTTCAGAAAACCACAAACACGTCTAGCATCATTAGTGGGCAAAGCTTGCGCCTCAGCCCACCTAGAGACGTAGTCAACAGCAACCAAGATATAGGTATTGCCAAAGGATGGAGGGAAGGGGCCCATGAAGTCGATACCCCAGACATAAAAAATCTCACAAGTTATAAATACATTATGGGGCATCTCATCACAGGAAGAGATGTTACCTGACCTCTTGCATTGTTTGCACCTGCGTGCGAAGGTGCCTGCGTCCTTGAAGAGCGTGGGCCAGTAAAAGCCTGATTGTAGCACCTTCCTCGCTGTGCGGTTTCCTCCGTGGTGACCGCCAGTCGGTCCGTCATGACAGTGAGATAGAATGCCCTCCATCTCACTCTCCATAACACAGCGATGGATGATCCTGTCGACTCCGATCCTGAAAAGATGAGGGTCATCCAAGAAGTAATGCTTCAGGTCAGAGAAGAATTTCCTCTTGGTGTGAGTTGTCATCCCCTTGGGCAGCTGCTGGCCCACCAAATAGTTCACAAAATCGGAGTACCAAGGGGTGACACTCTCCACCAGGCACATCATCATCAGTCTCTCATCTGGGAAGGAGTTGTTGATCTCCTCCTCGAGGTTGTCCGCACGAGGTGCATCCAAGCAGGAGAGGTGATCGGATGCAACATTCTCCGCCCCCTTCTTGTCCCGAATCTTGATGTTGAACTCCTGCAATAGTAAGATCCATCGTATGAACCTAGGCCTGGCATCGGCCTTGCTCATCAGGTGTTGAATCGCGGAGTGATTTGTATATACGGTCACATGGGACAAGACTAGATAAGGACGAAATTTGTCGAAGGCAAACACCACCGCGAGCAGCTCCTTCTCCGTGGTCGTGTAGTTCTCCTGGGCATCATTTAGGGTCTTCGAGGCATAGTAAATAAGTCGGAAGTGCTGATCTCGCCTCTGCCCCAAGACAACGCCAACAGCAAAGTCACTGGCATCGCACATCAGCTCAAATGGTAGGGACCAGTCAGGAACAACCATGATAGGAGCTTGGGTGAGTTTCTCCTTCAAGGTCGTGAATGCCTCCGTGCATGCATCAATGAACTGGAAGGGGGCGTCCTTCTCAAGGAGCTTAGTAAGGGGCACGACAATCTTCGAAAAATCCTTGATGAACCGCCTGTAGAACCCTGCATGGTCTAAAAACTCCGAATCCCCTTAACAGATGTAGGAGGAGGCAGCTTGCTGATAGTCTCAATCTTTGCTTGGTCCACCTCAATCCCCATCTTGGAGATCTTATGCCCCAGAACTATGCCTTCGCGAACCATGAAATGACACTTCTCCCAACTCAATGCCAGGTTCGTTTCTTCACACCATTTAAGGACGAGTTCCAGGGTATGGAGACAGTGAGAGAACGAGTCTCCATAAACCAAGAAATCATCCATAAACACCCCGATAATCTCGCCGACCAGGCGGTCAAAGATGGCGAGCATGCATCGCTGAAAGGTGGCAGGGGCATTGCATAGCCCGAATGGAATCCTCTGGTAGGCAAATGTGCCGAAGGGTCAGGTGAAAGTGGTCTTTTCCTGGTCCTCTGGTGCAATGGGGATCTGGAAGTACCCGAACATCCCATCCAGGAAACAGTAGAACTCGTGCACCGCCAGTCTCTCCAGCATCTTGTCAATGAACGGCAGCGGGAAGTGGTCCTTCCGAGTGGCGTCATTGAGACGACGATAATCAATGCAGACACGGTACCCAGTCACTGTGCGCATTGGGATGAGCTCATTCTACTCGTTAGGCACCATGGTCATCCCACCCTTTTTGGGTACCACCTGGGTGGGACTGACCCACTCGCTGTCGGAAATGGCGATGATGATCCCCGCGTCCACCACAGCCTCTAGGTTTGGTGTCAGTCTTCTCTACGGCTGTCTCACTGGCCGCATCTCATTCTCTAGAAGGAGGGGCTGATCCCCCGGATATCTGTGATCTCCACGCTAGAGCTCGCTCGTACTGCTTCAACAAAGCCACCAGTCTGTCCATCTGCTCGGGTGTGAGGATCGAGCTGATGATGACTGGAAGCTTATTCCCCTCCCGGACAAATGCATACTCCAAATGAGGAGGGAGGGGATTTAGCTCCAACTCTGGTGGTTCCTCCAAGGAGGTAGTGATGCGGGGTGAGGATGAGATCGATTTGAACAGCCGGCCGCCCTCCAGAAATGTGTGACTCTCTAGCGCGGCCAACTGCTCCGCCAGCTACGGCTCCTGCGATGCCTGCTCACCTAGCAAAATACAACGCTCAAGAGCATCGTCAGTAAGCGCACTCGTTATAGCGAGTGCGGTCTCAAAATCAGCAAGCACATCACAGTAATCTAAGTCATCATGCAAATGGGAGTGTTTCCCATTCTCAGACACAGAATAAGTAGCATGTTCATTACCAGCACGCATGATCAATTTACCACTATGCACATCAATATCCAGAATAACAAAGTCAACAGGATATGTGAATACACCTACATTAACAAGCAGATCCTCTATACTAGTAGCTCTAGGTTCACCTAGGTCCAGCTTTTTAAACAATTTGTAGGGCATGACATTTATACTAGCATGCTTACAATAACAAGAGGGATAGTGAAACTCCCTGGGTCTTTACGCTTCTCGGGCAGCTTGTTCTGCAGGATAGCAGAACACTCCTCGCTCAGCATCACTGTCGAAAGATCCCCAAGTTTCTTCTTGTTGGTGAGGAGGTCTTTCATGAACTTGGCGTACTTGGGCATCTTCGACAGTGCCTCCACGAACGGCATGCTAATGTTGACCTGCTTCAACATTGCCATGAACTTGGCATACTCAGTCTCCAGCTTGTCTTTATGTAGGCAAGTGGGGAAAGGAAGCTGGGGTACATGCTCCTTAACCACTGGCTGTGGCTTAGGAGCAGGTGCTTCTTTGTCCATCCCCACTTCTGCATTGTCAGCTAGAAGTGTTGAAGCAGGTAGTGGCTCGTCCTGTCTGGGCTGGTGCTGGTGAGGCTCACGAGGGTTCGGAATGGTGGTGGCAGGCAGAGTCCCCGGTGCCATGGTAGTATTTTGGCGAGCTATGCCACCAATCTGATTCTGTAGATCTTGCAAAATGGCACCTTGGTTCCTCTGGCCTGCCTCCAGTGAGGCTATGTTCTGGTCCATTCTCGTGAAATTCGCCTGGCTGGTGGTCAGGAATGCCTGCAGAATATTTTTCAGCTCCATCATCTGATTATCTGGAGCTGCAGTTGCTGGAGGCTGGGCATACTGACGCTGGGGCTACTGGAATGGTTTCCCCTACCTAGGCTGGTAAGGCTGCTGCTGTGGAACTGGCCCTTGTCTAGCCTGGAAAGGCTGCCTCTGCTGAAAACCACCTGCTGGTGCTGGAAAACCAGGTGGTTTAGTGGTGTTGCTATTCCAAGCGAAGTTGGGATGTTGGCGCCACCCCTCATTGTATGTATTGCTGTATGGGTCAAGGCGCCGAGCATTGGCGATGAAGTCCAACTGCTCTTGGGGAGTAGAAGATTCCCGCATAGCTTGGCAGTCTACCCCCAGATGGTTCGAGCTCTCACACCACTGACATTGAGCTACTGGAGGTACAGCCAAACCTCTGCCCGGAATAAGACTGTTAGGCTGCTTCAATGTCTGGACTAACTCGGCCACCTCCCGCTCTAGCCCAGACCTGGCTTCCATGGCATGCACACCTCGATCCCGGGAATTCCTGCCTCTAGTGCTCTGCCCCCAAGCATGATCTCTGGTAGCCAAGGTACTTATCATATGGTTCAGTTCGCGTGGAGTCTTAGTGAGAATATCGCCTCCTGGGCATAGAGAGCACTATAGAAGTTCCCCACGGTGAATGCATCGCCGAACCCATGATGGGGGCACTGCCAGAAAAACCCCGAGTACCGCTCTCATGCATCACGAAGTGACTCATCTGGCTCTTGGCGGAAGTGAGTGATCTCCCGCTGAATTTCTTTAGTCTTCGATGCTGGATAGTACATGTGAACGAACTTGTCGGCCAGATCGTCCCAAGAAGTGATGGACAATGGAGGCTGGGTCTCTAGCCACCTCTTTGCATGCCCCCCCAGAGAATGGGGGAAGAGGTGAAGGCGGATCGTATCATCAGGGACACAGTTCATCTTGAACCCGTTCGTCAGCTGCAGGAAATGGGAAAGATGCACCCTTACCTCCTCATCCTTCAAGCCATAAAACTAAATAGAGGATGTAATGAGTTGAATCTAGCATGGCTTGATCTCGAAGTTGTTCGCTGGGATGGGTGTATAGAGGATGACAAGGCGGATATCAGCGACCCGTGGAGTGTAGTAATACTCCAGGGTGGGACCCGGCGGCGGTGGTGGTTGATGCTGAACCCCATCTACCTGGGGTATGGGGTTGTTCCCCAAGATATGATTCACCGGGGGAACCTAGAAAGGTATCCCCTGAGGCGGGTTATGTTCACCTTCCATCTCGTACTCGTCCTCGAAATTGCTGCTCAAATGGCCATCTATGCTCTCCTCCGTAGCCAGTCTAGCTCGCTGTTGTCTCCTAAGTTGGCGACAGGTGTGTTCAAGCTCCGGATCCAACGGCTGTAAATCTCCTGACTGGCTACGGGTCATGCACTACCTGCACACAGCCAAGCAGCAAACCAGTGAAGGCACAACTGTGACAAAGCAAACAGTGCTAAAAAGAAAAGCTAAATTAACAGAAACCACGTTTCTTCAACAAACTAGCCGTCCCTGGCAATGGCGCCAAAAACTTGACTCGCTCCTACTGTCACTCTAGAAAATGGCCAACTGTAACCACTTCCTAAAGCGTAGTATAGCGGGTTTGGGTCCTAAGTGTGATGACTACTCCGTGAGTTATTATTATTTAGCAGTGAAAGTGTAGTGAAGATCCAAACAAGCAAACAAGCAAAGCAAGTAAAAAGGTTGTTGTCAAGTCGAGAGAGGTCACCCGGATATGGTTCCCCCTAGACTGCAGTTAAGCCGGATTGTAATTTACCAAGTTCAATTCCAATGATAGTTATTCTGTGGGAGGTTCTTAAGCAGTCTGCAATCTCGACTAAAGGTCTCCGGACCCTCTCAATCTGAGTCCCCAGCGGGCGACTAACCTCCACCGGAGTAAACAGATTGAGGCCCTAACGAACCAAACCTCCACTACCAAAGTAAATCCGGTATAGAATAGTAAATACGGTACAGAATAGTGAATCAGGTTCGTCACTTTCTCTCTCTAGGTATACGCTTTTTCTCTCTAAAACTCGGAACCCTTCACTTTTGCCCTTCTTTTCGCTTAAGAAGCTGTCTGCCGCGATCCCCGGTCTGAATACCCGGTCTGGTATTTTGGGTGGAGACCGGGTATCTTTAAAACGCATCGTCGGGGAACAGGGTTTAATCCCCAGTCTGGGCCAAAAATACTCGACCAGGGATTTATGATAACTGCCTGGGCCCCCTTCTGCTTCTCAAACGCCCGAAACATGAATTCCCTGGTCTGCTCCAATTAATTTCCTGCCGGGTATTTCTACTCATGGTCGGGTATTTTGCTCCTCCAGCACACTTCAACCCAAACATGCTCCTTTCGATACGAAACTCGTTTCTTCGCCTCGATGCCAACACTAAGTCCTGAAATATGACATAAACGCACAACCTAGCGTGAAATCAACTTAAAACACGAGGATCAACATCTCAAACGGCTCAAGAATAGGGGGTAAAAACATGTGCAATCAATGGTCTATCATTTAGAAACTTACGAGATCAACTGGTCTTCTAAGACGCCCCCTATCTCTCTCAATGCGAGTACTAGACTCAAGCCAGGATAATGAGAAGCAGTGGAACTAAGACAGTCAATTCATGGATAAGGAGACTCACACAATTCAACAACCAAGGACTCATTGTATCGGGTGCTCTTTCATTTCATTTCACTTAGTGGAACCTGATAGACCGTTAGTTACACATGTTTTCACCCCTGTTCTTACACCGTTTGAGAGGTGGTTTCTCGTGTTTTAGACCGATTTCACGCTAGGTTGTGCTTGTTTGTGATATTTCAGGTCCTGGCAAGTGAATGAAGGTTTAGGAGCGAGTTCGGGGTCGATTGGGTGAAGATCGGGCGCGAGACAAGTCACAAGGGAGGTCACACGGGCTGCCCTAAAACTCGCACGGCCGTGTGAAGTAATGGCCTGGCCGTGCGAGTTTTGCCGAGAGCACACACGGGCAGAGTAGAGGATCGACACGGCCGTGCGAGTGGCCGGGTTGGCCGGGCCATATTCTGCGAGAGCAAACACGGGCAAGAGGGGATGTCCACACGGCCGTACCATTCTGGCCGTGCAAAGAGCCTGGAATTCGAACTAAATGAAACGATGCGTTTTGACTCACACGGGCAACTGGGTGAGCTGCACGGCCATGCCACCCTGGCCGTGTGAGTCGGGATTTTCTCCTTTTAAGAAGAATTTCAGCCACAATTCGGGAGGATTCGGGTTTTTGAGAAAGAAAGCGATTTCTAGAGAGAGAAAGCGACGAACAAGAGTCTCCAAGTGCCCTAGATTGATCTTCAACACCATTGGAGGCCAGCTTGAGCTTGGAGAAGTGCCAATCAACGTCCAGAAGCAGGAATCCATCCTTCGCAGTATGAATTTCGTGTCTGATTCTGCTTTTGCTTTCTTCTCTATGGAGTAGTTCTCCCATTCATCTGGGTATGGAGAACCCTAGATTTGTATGTTAGGCTTTGATTGTATGAACCCAAGTACTGATTCTGTGATTGATTATATTCGATTGAGGTTTTAATGATTGAATGACTTGAATCCTGATCAAATTCCTGTTGTTTCTGCTTTAACCTAGAATGAGAATATCTGCCTAGGTTAATAGAGTATCCTTGATTGAAGGTAGGGAGTTGGTGACTTTAGTCGAGGAGCCAACTCACTATTCTGTACCGGATTTACCCCGGTAGTGGAGGTTTTGTTCTTAGGGCCTCAATTTATCTACTCCAGTGGAGGTTAGTCGCCCGCTAGAGATTCAGATTGAGAGGGTCTGAAGACCTTTAGTCGAGACTTCAGACTGTTTAAGAACCTTCCGCAGTATAACTATCATAGAAACTGAACTTGGTAATTACAATCCGGCTTAACTGCAGTCTAGGGGGAACCATATCCGGGTGACCTCTTTAACTTGAATACAACCAGTTTACTTGCTTCGTTAGTTTGTTAGTTAGACTTGCATTCCAGTTTTATTGCTAGATAACAAGAACTCACTGAGTAGTCAGCAAATCTAGGACCCGGGTTGACATATAAACCTAACCCGCTATACTACGCTTTAGGAAGTGGTTTCACTTGGCCAATTCCTGGAGTGACAGTAGAGTCGAGTCAAGTTTTTGGCGCCGTTGCCGTGGACGGCTAGGTTGTTGAAGAAAAGTGATTTCTGTTAATTTAGCTTTTCTTTTTGCTTTGTTTTCTTTGTCCCACTTGTGCCTTCACGGGTTTGTTGCTTGAGTGTGTGCAGGTAGTGCATGACCCGTAGCCAGTCGGGAGGTTTACTGCCGTTGAATCCAGAGATTGACCGCACCTGTTGCCAGCTCAGGAGACAACAGCGAGCTAGACTGGCTACGGAAGAGCGCATAGACGGCCACCTGAGCAGCGATTCTGAAGAAGAGCACGGGATGGACGGAGACTACAACCAACACCAGGGGAATCCACATACCCCAGGACCATGGAGTTCATCATCCACCGCAGCCGGGTCCCACCTTGGAGTACTACTACACTCCTCGGATTGCTGACATCCGCCCGGTCATCCTCTACCCGCCGATCCCAGCAAACAACTTCGAGATCAAGCCATGCTGGATTCAGCTCATCACATCCTCGATCCAGTTTCATGGCTTGAAGGATGAGGAGGCCAGGGTACATCTGTCCCGTTTTCTGCAGCTGACAAACGGGTTCAAGCTGAACGGTGTTCCCGATGATGCGATCCGCCTTCATCTCTTCCCCCATACTCTGGCGGGGAATGCTAAGAGGTGGTTGGAGACCCAGCCCCCATTGTCCATCACCTCTTGGGATGATCTGGCGGACAAGTTCGTGCACAAGTACTATCCGGCATCGAAGACTACAGAGATTCAGCGGGAGATCACTCACTTCCGCCAGGAGCCAGATGAGTCACTCCGTGATGCTTGGGAGTGGTACATGGGCTACTTCTGGCAGTGCCCCCACCATGGCTTTAGTGATGCTTTCACTGTGGGGAACTTCTACAGTGCTCTCTCCCCAGATAGCCAGAGGGTGATTGAGTCTTTATGCCCAGGAGGGGATATTCTTACCAAGACTCCACCCGAGCTGAACCAGATGATCAGTACTTTGGCTGCCAGAGATCATTCTTGGGGACAGGGTAGCCGAGGCAGACAGTCCCGGGACCGTGGTGCACGCCATGGAGACCAGATCCGGGCTCGAGCAGCAGGTAGCTGAGCTAGTGCAGACATTGAAGCAGCCTAACAGTCTGATTCCGGGCAGAGGTTTGGCTACACCTCCAGTTGCTCAGTGTCAGTGGTGTGAGAGCTCCAATCACCTAGTGGAGGACTGCCAGGCTATGAGGGAGTCTACCACACCCCAGGAGCAGTTGGCCTTCATCGCCAATGCGAGGCGCCTCGATCCATACAGTAGCACATATAATGAGGGGTGGCGCCAGCATCCCAACTTTGCCTGGAGCAGCAACACCACTAAACCACCTGGTTTCCCAGCACCAGCAGGTGGTTTTCAGCAGAGGCAGCCCTACCAGGCTCGACAGGGGCTAGTTCCACATCAGCCATTCCAGCAGCCCCAGCGCCAGTTTGCCGAGCCAGCAGCAGCTCCAGCCCCAGATGACAGGATGACGAAGCTGGAAAACATTCTAGCTTCATTCATGACGAGCACTCAGGCGACTATCACGAGGTTGGACCAGAGTGTAGCCTCACTGGAGGCAGGTCAGAGGAACCAGGGTGCCATTTTGCAGGATCTGCAGACCCATGTGGGCATCTTGGCCCGCCAAAACACTACCAGGGCACCGGGGACTCTGCCTGCCACCACTGTTCCGAATCCTCGAGATCCTCACCAGCATCAGCAGCTGGATGCCATTTTTACCAGGAGCGGTAAGACCATATCTGCTGATCCTGTCCCGGCCAGACAGGAGGAACCACTGCCTGCTTCAGCACTTCCAGCCGACGATGCAGAAGTGCGGGTGGAGAAAGAAGCCCCTGCTCCCAAGCCACAACCAGTGGTTAAAGAGCATGTACCCCAGCTTCCCTTCCCCACTCGCCTACACAAGGACAAGCTGGAGACTGAGTTTGCCAAGTTCATGGCAATGTTGAAGCAGCTCAATATCAGCATACCGTTCATGGAGGCACTGTCGAAGATGCCCAAGTATGCCAAGTTCATGAAAGATATCTGCACCAACAAGAAGAAACTTGGGGATCTCTCGACAGTGATGCTGATCGAGGAGTGTTCTGCTATCCTGCAGAACAAGCTGCCCGAGAAGCGCAAGGATCCAGGGAGTTTTACTATCCCTCTTACTATTGGCAGCATGCATGTAGGAAAGTCCTTGGCGGACCTAGGCGCTAGCATTAACGTCATGCCATATAAGTTGTATAAAATACTAGACCTAGGTGAACTTAGCCCTACTAGGATGAGCATTCAATTAGCTGATCGTTCTATTGTGCATCCTAGGGGAATCATAGAGGATCTGCTTGTTGGTGTTGGTGCATTCACATATCTTGTTGATTTTGTTATTCTTGATATATATGAGGATGTGGATGTGCCCTTGATTCTAGGTAGGCCATTTCTTGCCACCGCCAAGGCACTAATTGATGTGCATGATGGTAAGTTGATCTTGCGTGTTGGGGATGAACAGGCTACTTTTTCTGTGACTGAGTTTGATTACTGTGCTATGATTGCTGTCACGCCTGTGCATGCTATGTCTGATCAGGTACACGAGTCTGTCGTGTACCCTTCTGCACCTCCTATTTTGCAGGACCCTCCTATCATTCCTTCGCCGCCACTCCATCCAGCCTCGCCTCCGAACAAAAAGCTCAAGGAGGAGTGGCGGCCGAAGCAGCAGGTTGCTAAGCCTGCACGGAAGAAGAGTGGAGACCACTATGAGCTGGTCCCACCTCCTGCACCACGACCACCCTGGCCGTCTGGGTACTCGCTCTCCTGCATCTTGCCAGATGGGCAGGTCGAGCTGACTGATGAGGGTGGTCGCATCCGTCGGGTGCATGGCCACAACCTGAAGCTGTACCTCAAGAGCGACGTGGATCCGCTCTTGGAGGCACCTGTTCCTGCACCGCCCTGAGTATCCGCAATTGGCGTCCAGCTAAAAGACGGTAAAGAAGCGCTTGTGGGGAGGCAACCCCACCATTGTTTGATTTTCTTTCTTGTGTTTTGAGTCGGATTGTAACCCGGTTTGGGTTTGGTTTGTTTTCTTTTGGTTTGGATGATATTTTATTGGGCTGACCATTGAACCTAACATACTGTGTTTGAGCTCTTCTGTTCCCCTTTGGCTGTGCTTGCCCCGACTGGCTCGTTTCCAGTCCCCTGCAGTCCGTGCATACCGGTAACATCTTTCCCTATCCCTTCCCTCTTCTCCATTGAGGGCAATGTCGATCTTAAGTGTGGGGGGGGGGGGGGGTGTTTATCTTTTGACTGCATTAAATCTGTTTGTGTGCTTGGAGCCTAGTCCACTGTCCAAATTTTTAAATTTGAGGGCTCCAAGTACGTGTTTCCTTGCAATTGCCTGCTCAGTATGCTTTGAATTGACAGTCTTTATAGTGATATGCAACATAGGGAGGTAGTGTAGCACTATGGAGGATGTCGATGCATTTAAGAAGTCTCATTTCTTCTTCATATTGAGTTGGTTGATTGAGTGAATTAGTGATCTTAGGACCCTTGAATTGTGTGGTGTTGTGGATTCTCTGCCTGTCATGGACTCTTGTATCATGTTTTGAAAATAACAGGTGCTCGAAAATGTGCTTCAAAATAAACGTCTCCCGTGCGAATAGGGCAAAAGTGTGTAAGGGGAGACGAGAATTCGTTCCCAATTTCCACCTACTACCTCCAGCCCCCTTACATGTCTTTCCCCCGCACGAGGCTCGAGACATCCGCTCCTGGCATGGCCGGTAAGAGCAGGTTGGGACCCTTGAAAAAGAAAAAAGAAAAGAAAAATAACAGAAACAAGCATAATAGAAAGAAAAGGGGTTCCAAACATCCTTAAGCAGAAAATAGAGCACCTTGAAAAATGTGAGTCCATGATCTGTTGTTTTTTAGAATCTCTTCATCCAAAATTCATTTGTCCTCTGTTCACTATTTGCCATGATGCCGACTCGCCGAAGAAGTTATGAGATGACTTGTGCGTCGGTTGACCTCGTAAGTTGCTAAATGATATAGGAAGTCCTCTACCTACGATCTGGGTTGTTTGTTGCTATAGAGGTCTGGAGAGTTGCATTGGTTTGAGTTAGGTTTGCTTGGGGACAAGCAAACGGTTAAGTGTGGGGGAGTTTGATAGACCGTTAGTTACACATGTTTTCACCCCTGTTCTTACACCGTTTGAGAGGTGGTTTCTCGTGTTTTAGACCGATTTCACGCTAGGTTGTGCTTGTTTGTGATATTTCAGGTCCTGGCAAGTGAATGAAGGTTTAGGAGCGAGTTCGGGGTCGATTGGGTGAAGATCGGGCGCGAGACAAGTCACAAGGGAGGTCACACGGGCTGCCCTGAAACTCGCACGGCCGTGTGAAGTAATGGCCTGGCCGTGCGAGTTTTGCCGAGAGCACACACGGGCAGAGCAGAGGATCGACACGGCCGTGCGAGTGGCCGGGTTGGCCGTGCCATATTCTGCGAGAGCAAACACGGGCAAGAGGGGATGTCCACACGGCCGTGCCATTCTGGCCGTGCAAAGAGCCTGGAATTCGAACTAAATGAAACGATGCGTTTTGACTCACACGGGCAACTGGGTGAGCTGCACGGCTGTGCCACCCTGGCCGTGTGAGTCGGGATTTTCTCCTTTTAAGCAGAATTTCAGCCACAATTCGGGAGGATTCGGGTTTTTGAGAAAGAAAGCGATTTCTAGAGAGAGAAAGCGACGAACAAGAGTCTCCAAGTGCCCTAGATTGATCTTCAACACCATTGGAGGCCAGCTTGAGCTTGGAGAAGTGCCAATCAACGTCCAGAAGCAGGAATCCATCCTTCGCAGTATGAATTCCGTGTCTGATTCTGCTTTTGCTTTCTTCTCTATGGAGTAGTTCTCCCATTCATCTGGGTATGGAGAACCCTAGATTTGTATGTTAGGCTTTGATTGTATGAACCCAAGTACTGATTCTGTGATTGATTATATTCGATTGAGGTTTTAATGATTGAATGACTTGAATCCTGATCAAATTCCTGTTGTTTCTGCTTTAACCTAGAATGAGAATATCTGCCTAGGTTAATAGAGTATCCTTGATTGAAGGTAGGGAGTTGGTGAGTTTAGTCGAGGAGCCAACTCACTATTCTGTACCGGATTTACCCCGGTAGTGGAGGTTTTGTTCTTAGGGCCTCAATTTGTCTACTCCAGTGGAGGTTAGTCGCCCGCTAGAGATTCAGATTGAGAGGGCCTGAAGACCTTTAGTCGAGACTTCAGACTGTTTAAGAACCTTCCGCAGTATAACTATCATAGAAACTGAACTTGGTAATTACAATCCGGCTTAACTGCAGTCTAGGGGGAACCATATCCAGGTGACCTCTTTAACTTGAATACAACCAGTTTACTTGCTTCGTTAGTTTGTTAGTTAGACTTGCATTCCAGTTTTATTGCTAGATAACAAGAACTCACTGAGTAGTCAGCAAATCTAGGACCCGGGTTGACATATAAACCTAACCCGCTATACTACGCTTTAGGAAGTGGTTTCACTTGGCCAATTCCTGGAGTGACAGTAGAGTCGAGTCAGAACCCCTTCTTCTTACTATTTGTTTCTTTTTTTTTCTTTGCTAGGGTTCCAACTGCAGTTTGTATTCGCGGTCTGCCCTTAATATGTGAGCAAGAGCAATTTATGTACATCTGTCACTCGCCAGAGTACTTCTTTTAACTCCTATTCCTCACTTCGTGCGGAGGGTCAATGAAATTAAGGGGCGTCGGAAGCTCTATCTGTGCCCTTAAAAACACATCCTCATGTAGGCAAACCGTTAAACGGGCGGAAATTTTACTTGTATTAGAGACAAGTTAACTTCACCTTGTAGGCCTACCCCACCAAGGATCACTAAAATCTCTTCCAAAACCTGATTTTGTGCAATGAACGGTGCCACACACGTTGGGCTTACCCCATGTCTTAGAATTTCAAATTTTTGACATGGAGAACCAACTGCTTTTTAATTTCACACTTGAGCACCCTTTTCGATACACGAGTCCAGAACACAACATAAGAGGATTCATCAATACTACATGAATCAAGGGTCCTAAATCCACTAGTTCACAAAATCAACCGACACAGCTGAGAGACAGATAGGAAAAATCTTATACTTCAACATCCTCCATAGTGTTACAACTACCTCCCTAGGTTGCATATGTAACATCCCATTTCGGCAAAATCCATATTTCGATCGCTAGAAAGTCCGCGATTTAAAATCGAGCGTTTTGATAGTATTTCGGCGAAAATCGGATTATCGATCGATCGGATAAGTATACGTATTAAATATATATATATATAATTATATATATACTTTATATAAGTCGGTCACAGACCACTTATATATATAATTCCCCTCCCCGCCATTCTTTCCATTCTGTTCTTTCTCTTTCCAAATTCGGACCGAGAGCAACAAAGAAGCATGGCGCACACAGGGAAGCGTCTTTGGAAAATTCCAAAGCACCAATCTTGAGCCCTAGTGATCCAAAAATCCCGTAAGTAACGCCTAATCCATCTATACATCGCGATTTATCGATTTAGATCTTTAAAACGAGTTTTTGGTTCAGGAATTTCTTGAATTCCCGATAAGCCAAATTAGGGTTTCGGAGTATCCGGAAGCCGGATTGAGCCCAAATTTCATATACTAGCTTCCTGCAACAAGGTAATCAATCCTCTACTTCTAATCCTTGAATTTCGACAATTATTTAGGTCGGGGGTCCAAATCGCTGAATTTAGCTCCGGCCAGGGTTTGATGTGTTTTTATCAAGAATTTGACATGGAGCCTAGAACTAATATTGACGGGGATACTGCAGGGGATATTAGGACGGTCTAGGATTTTAATTCGGGTTTGTTCGTGAAATTGACGTTTTAGTACGGGAAGGTTAAACCGGTGTTTGAACGACCAGAACTGGTGAGGGATTAGCACGGCATACCGGGTTTATCGTATCACGATAATTATATTGATGCTTAGAATTGACCTAGGTGAATTAGAATGGCATGATTAGGGGTGTATGGACTTTTATGCTATATGACGAACCATGGATTGTTGTATGATATTATTGACTTGCCCTAGCCGATATGGACCTTGTTTATATTGATGATTGCATACATGTTAAAAATTTTGGCTTAACCGTTGATATGACTTCATGGCTGTTCTATCAGGTGTTTTGACATGATGTGATATTGTGGTTATTTTTGGATTCACAAGTGGGGGAAATAAACTTCCCTGGGTGATATTATGATGTTTAAGGAGGATGACTTGCACGAGGGTGTATCCCGAGGAAGTGCAATTATACGACTCCTGATTTACCTATGTTGAGCAAATTATGGCTAGGTCAAGTACATGTGCAAGTAATGAATTATGATTAAGCAAGATGAGATATGAATCATGTATAAGGATACCAAATATGAGTGTTGTGGTCTCACGGTCAACTACATAGTAATTAGGGCTCCCTATGCTATTACTCTATTATGATATGTATGATAGTCACACCTCTCATGTGGTGGTGACTGAAGAATTCTTACGAGATATGACCACACCCAGAGTGGTGTCGGGGTATGACTACACCCATAGTGGTGTGGGGTATGTATGACCACATCCGACGGTATGTTGGGGTATGTATGACTACATTCGACGGGATGTGGGGTATGTTTCCCAGGAGAGTTATTAGCATGGGAGTAGCCAGGCGCCTATAAGTAAAACATAAGACGCATATGCATAAGTCAAGGTGGTTGAGTCTTTTGCCTATTGGGATGTCGGATGGCTGAGGGCCGATCCTAGTGCTTTGGCTTGTTTGCTAGATGTATGGTAGGGGTATGCTCTATTATGAACTCAAGATGCAATGATTGTCTCACTTAGCCATGAGCTGGCCCTCTTTTATTATTCTTCTCTACTTATGCTATGTGTAAGCAGATCATCAGCAACAGCACTAGATAAGTGTTAGGTGGGAGAGGAGCTAGAGTTGAAGCCAGGATGAGGTATGGTCTTCAACTATTCTGTGCTTGGACGACTACTTGGGATTTTAGCCAGTGATCCACACCTTTTTTGTAAAAAAATGTTTTGAGAACGTTTTTCATGTGCATACTAGCTTCTGATGTAGTGTGAGATATCCACAGGTGTGGAAAGTTGATGATATGTGTATATGTTGTGTAACTGTGTAAGTTGTGACGATTATGGTATGCAGTTGTGGAGTATGAAAAGTGTGACTATTTCTAAGAAGAGCCAATGCATATTTTGTGAGTATATATGTTTGTGATGAATTATTTTGCAGGATAAGTTGCAAGAACTGTTAGCCCATTGCGCGAGTAATTCATTTCAAAATTTATTTGGGTAAATTTTGATAATTAATGTAGCACCCGAGATTAATTCTGCTGCAATTGTATGAACAATATGATTAGGCAAAACGTATAGGGTAGGGTGTTACAGTTTGGTATCAGAGCCTGGTTCCCTCTTTTTGGTGTTATGGCGTACTATACCCTATGGGAGGTTAAACACTCCTAAGGAGGGGAGTACCCCATAATGACTGAAGCTGGGAATTGAGTTTGACACGATTATGTGTATTGGTATGTTGGATGAAATTAGCTGCATCATGGTTTTCAAAATTGAGTTTTAAACTTCTATGTTTTCGAGTAATTATTTTGGGAAAATTTTGTTTTAACCAAGTGAGAGAGTGGGTGTAGAATAAATTTTGTGTGGATCAATCTAAGGCCAATATTTCCTTGTAGCTCGCACGGAAGTTGTGAAAATGTTCCTACTGACCAGTCGAGAGGAGTGGGGGCGGTTGATGCAAGACCGCCAGTATTAGACTATGCAAAGATGAAGAGATTGGGTGGTAGGGACTTCAAGGGAGATGTGAGCCCAGATGCTTTAGTAGAGAGGTTGAGAGAGATGGAAGATGTGTTTGAGTATCATTATGCAACCCCAGAGGAAAAAGTGCAATATGTTGTTTTTCTCCTAAAGGGGTATGCGAGGAGCTGGTGGTCCTCAGTCTCTAGAGTTAATGGTGAACGAGTTCAGCTCACCTGGGAGGAGTTCCTAAAGGCCTTTAAGACAGAGTTTCTTCCTGAAGCTTTTATCAAGACAAAGAACAATGAATTCGCCAACCTTAAGCAGGAGAATATGACAGTTACTGAGTACACCATTAAGTTTGTTCGACTACTTTACTTTGAAGATGGGTTGGCGGATACTGAGCATAAGAAGAAGATGAGATACTTGCATGGTCTGCGTCTAGGATTGAAAGAAAAGATCCACAGGGTTGATGAAGAGAGCATAGCCACTATCAAGGAGGCACCACTTAAATATGAAGCTTATGAAGTTGAGGGTAGAGAGGAAAACAAGGACAAAGAAGAGGAGAAGAAGAGGAAGTTTGGAGTGAGTTATGCTGGACCTCGTTACCCATCCAGGAGAGGTCCTAGCAGTTTTGGGAGAACACCGAGTCAATCTATGTCGGGAACATCATACAGGGCACCAATTTCCTCGGCCACACAATTTCCATTTTGTCAAGTTTGTTAGAAGAGGCATCTTGGAGAGTGTAGGAGATTTTCTGGTGTATGCTTTCACTGTGGCCAACCTGGGCACATCATGAGGGATTGTCCGCATTCGAGAGAAGTAAGATCTACACAATCCGAGCCTTCAGTGCAATTTAGTAGAGCCCCATTCAGGGGTGGTTACCAGGGAGGCCGTAGTGGATTTCAGAGTGGTCGTGGTGGTTCTCAAGGTGGTAGAGGTGGTGGTCAAAATCAGCCATCAGGAAGTGGTACGCAGGGTACCAGAGCACAGGGAGCACCGAGGGTTTATGCAATGACTCGAGTTGAGGCAGAAGTGGCACCAGAAGTTGTGACTAGTATGCTTTCTATCCTTGGCAAGCAATTATATGCTTTGATCGATACTGGTTCCTCTCACTCATTCATGTCATATACGTTTGCACATAGGCTACGCTTAGTTCCAGATAAGCTAGGTTATACCTTAAATGGTAAAACACCTGTGGGAGATAGATTGAAGGTAGATTCAGTTATAAGAAGTTCCTTCATTTGTGTGGAAGGAGCTTTCCTAGCAGCAGATTTAATTCTGCTACCTTTTGATGAATTCGATGTCATCCTTGGGATGGACTTTCTGGCAACACATGGAGCTTTTGTGGATTGTCAAAAGAAAGAAGTGTTATTCAACACACCAGATAAAGGTCCTGTTGTATTCCAAGGCATTAAGAAAAAGGAGACTCATGGTTTTCTTTCTGCCTTGGAAGCTTTTCGATTAGTGAAGGAAGGCTGTGAAGCCTTTCTTGCTCAAGTTACTGTTGTAAATGAGAAGAAGGTTGAGGATGTAGAGGTGTTAAGGGAGTTTCTTTATGTATTCCCCGAAGAACTTCCCGGCCTTCCACCAGAAAGGGAAGTAGAGTTTGATATTGAATTAGTACCTAGCACAACACCAATTTCAATGGCACCATATAGAATGGCACCAATTGAGCTGAAGGAGCTTAAAGAACAATTGCAAGAATTGCTAGACAAGGGGTTTATTCGACCCTAGCATCTCACCTTGGGGTGCACCGATTTTGTTTGTCAAGAAGAAAGATGGTTCCATGAGAATGTGCATTGACTACCGGAGGTTGAAAAAGGAGACAGTGAATAATCGTTATCCCCTTCCAAGAATAAATGATTTGTTTGATCAATTGCAGGGTGCATCAGTCTTTTCTAAGATTAATTTGAGGTCTGGATACCATCAACTGAAAGTGGCAGATGGAGTGACCTCAAAGACAGCTTTTAGAAGAAGATATGGGCATTATGAGTTCCTGGTAATGCCTATTGGACTCACTAATGCACCAGCGGTATTTATGGCTCTTATGAACAGAGTTATCCATGAATATCTTGATAAGTTTGTGATTGTGTTCATAGATGATATTCTCATCTATTCTAAAAGCGAGGAGGAGCACAAAACTCACCTTAGAATTGTGTTGCAAATTCTAAGGGAGAAACAATTATATGCAAAATTCTCAAAATGTGAGTTTTGGCTGAAGGAGGTAATATTTCTGGTACATGTAATTTATGGAAGAGGTGTCGAGGTGGATCCAAAAAAAGTGGAAGCAGTGGTGAGTTGGGCTCCACCAAAAGATATGTCGGAGTTGATAAGTTTTCTTGGCATGGCTTGCACGAGGGTTTATCCCGAGGTAGTGCAATTATATGACTCCTGATTTACCTATGTTGAGCCAATTATGGCCAGGTCAAGTACATGTGCAAGTAATGAATTATGATTTAGCAAGATGAGATATGAATCATGTATAAGGATACCAAATATGAGTGTTGTGGTCTCACGGTCAACTACATAGTAATTAGGGCTCCCTATGCTATTACTCTATTATGATATGTATGATAGTCACACCTCTCATGTGGTGGTGACTGAAGAATTCTTACGAGATATGACCACACCCAGAGTGATGTCGGGGTATGACTACACCCATAGTGGTGTGGGGTATGTATGACCACATCCGACGGGATGTTGGGGTAAATATGACTACATTCGACAGGATGGGGGTATGTTTCCCAGGAGAGTTATTAGCATGGGAGTAGCCAGGAGCCTATAAGTAAAACATGATAAGAAGCATATGCATAAGTCAAGGTGGTTGAGTCTTTTGCCTATTGGGATGTCGGATGGCTGAGGTCTGATCCTAGTGCTTTGGCTTGTTTGCTAGATGTATGGTAGGGGTATGCTCTGTTATGAACTCACGATGCAATGATTGTCTCACTCAGCCATTAGCTGACCCTCTTTTATTCTTCTTCTCTGCTTATGCTATGTGTAAGCAGATCATCAGCAGCAGCAGTAGATAAGTGTTAGGTGGGGGAGGAGCTAGAGTTGAAGCCAGGATGAGGTATCGTCTTCAACTATTTTGTGCTTGGACGACTACTTGGGATTTTGGCCAGTGATCCACACCTTTTTTGTAAAAAAATGTTTTGAGAACGTTTTTCATGTGCATACTAGCTTCTGATGTAGTGTAAGATATCCACAGGTGTGGAAAGTTGATGATATGTGTATATGTTGTGTAACTGTGTAAGTTGTGACGATTATGGTATGTATAAGTATGGTATGCAGTTGTGGAGTATAAAAAGTGTGATTATGGCTAAGAAGAGCCAATGCATATGGTTGTAAGCTGGAATACGGACAGTCAGGGGACTAGAAATGGGACCAGTCAACAGGTCTAGAGTCATCAAAACACACTGGGTGATAGAAACCATAGTTCCAAGTGGACAAACCGAAAAACAAACCTTGGTGGGGTTGCCTCCCCACAAGCGCTTCTTTTACGTCTTAGCTGGACGTGGCTCCTAAGTTTCGGTCCATGCTAGAACCTCCTTGAAGTTGAGGTTCTCATTAATAAGGTGGAGTCTCAAGTCACGAGCATGTGATGTGATAGGTGATGAAGATGGCTCGTGGCCGTGAGGAAGATGAAGTCTCCACTTTCGAGACCTTTCCTTCGCGTCTGCTCTTGTCTCATTCCCCCAAACCAGATAAGATATATTCGATTGACCACCATTGCATCCACCAAGAGGGATTGATGTTGATGTGGTCTTGCTCTGGCAAAGAGACACTGCAAATGGGTCCTTTCCAAGCAGCTCCTCGGAGTTTGGTGGAGATATCACATGTAACTCATGGCCGGTGCATGCCTCTTCCACCTCAACTTCATCCTCAACATGGACACAAATTGCTTCTTCAACCCCCCCTTCCTTCATCAGAATGTGGTCTCTCCCCTTGGAAAAGATCAAGAAATTCCTCTTCTTTGCTTTCTTCCTCGTCCTCCATAACTTCTTCCCTCACCCTTTCTCGATATTCTTCTTCTAGAATATATTGGAGAGCAAGTCGCCATGTAATTTCTATATATCAAAGGTTAAAGCAGAAATCAAGATAATTTGATCAGGATTCAATTGACTCAATAAATCATGCCTCAATCGATTATAATCACACAATATAGCATCCAAAACTTCATACAAGAAAGACCCTAACATATGGAACTAGGGTTCCTCACAACCTAAGTGAAGGGAAGTTACTCCATAGAGAAGAGAGAGACTGCAGAAATCTCATCTAAATCTTCAATCTCCATCTCCAAGCTTGATTCTCGAGCTCCAATGGTGAAGAAATCCTCCAAAATAGCTCCAAGAATGGCTATAGATCACCCTCTCTCTCTTTGGTTCGTCCCTTGGGTGTTTGGGATCCAAAACCCAGCTCTCCCTCTCCAAAAATTGCAAAACAACTTTTATACCCACTGAAACTCGCACCCCCTACTTGCACGGCCATGCTAATTGAGGTTTTGGCCGTGCAAACCTAGCCGTTCCCGGCAACGGCGCCAAAAAACTTGATTCGACTCTACTGTCACCCTAGGAATTGGCCAAGTGAAACCACTTCCTAAAGCGTAGTATAGCGGGTTTAGGTTTATATGTCAACCCGGGTCCTAGATTTGCTGACTACTCAGTGAGTTCTTGTTATCTAGCAATAAAACTGGAATGCAAGTCTAACTAACAAACTAACAAAGCAGGTAAACGGTTGTATTAAGGTTAAAGAGGTCACCCGGATATGGTTCCCCCTAGACTGCAGTTAAGCCGGATTGTAATTACCAAGTTCAGTTTCTATGATGGTTATACTGCGGAAGGTTCTTAAACAGCCTGAAGTCTCGACTAAAGGTCTTCAGACCCTCTCAATCTGACTCTCTAGCGGGCGACTAACCTCCACCGGAGTCGATAGATTGAGGCCCTAAGAACAAAACCTCCACTACCGGAGTAAATCCGGTACAGAATAGTGAGTTGGTTCCTCGACTAAAGTCACCAACTCCCTACCTTCAATCAAGGATACTCTATTAACCTAGGCAGATATTCTCATTCTAGGTTAAAGCAGAAACAACAGGAATTTGATCAGGATTCAAGTCATTCAATCATTAAAACCTCAATCGAATATAATCAATCACAGAATCAGTACTTGGGTTCATACAATCAAAGCCTAACATACAAATCTAGGGTTCTCCATACCCAGATGAATGGGAGAACTACTCCATAGAGAAGAAAGCAAAAGCAGATTCAGACACGGAATTCATACTGCGAAGGATGGATTCCTGCTTCTGGACGTTGATTGGCACTTCTCCAAGCTCAAGCTGGCCTCCAATGGTGTTGAAGATCAATCTAGGGCACTTGTGAACTCTTGCTCGTCACTTTCTCTCTCTAGAAGTCGTTCTTTCTCTCAAAAACTCGAATCCCCTTCTGTTTGGCTGAAAATCTGCTTAAAAAGGCATCAGCCAAAGCACGGTCGAGGGCACGGCCGTGCTTTGCCTGAGCCTGCCCGTGTTTCGGCCAGTGTTTAATTACACGGCCAGCAGCTGTTGGAAACACGGCCGTGCTTCGCGAGGTACACGGCCGTGCTTTGCCTGAACACGGCCGTGCTTCGGTGCCCGTGTTTGCAGCTGAATCGGCCAAACTGAATATGCTCTCGGCATAAAAAGCACGGCCAGAAGTACACGGCCGTGTAATTCCTTGGGCTGCCCGTGTTTTGGCTCCAGCTCACCGAAATGACTTCCGAATGCCCCGAAACTCGCGGTTAGCCTTCCCTTTAACGCCTGGGACCTGAAACATGACAAAATAGCACAACCCGGCGTAAAATAGGCCAAAACACACGACTATGCCCCTCAAACGGATAAGAACTAGGGGCGCAAACATGTGCAATTACATCGTTATCAAACTCCCCCACACTTAACCGTTTGCTTGTCCTCAAGCAAACCAAGTCAGACACAAGGTAAGCTCAAAACAACAAGGCATGACATATCGGCACAAAACACGTGGATCATACTGGCTTTCGATCATTAACACATGGACAACCTCACTGACAACCTAGACAACCACCACAGATGACATTCGAATGCAGTAAAATCGAGCAAAAGAAGGGTCTCCCTTCTGTTCACCAACCAACATAGACTTGACTCAACCACTTGTTCGAAACAGTCACATCATACACAAAGTTCAAGATATCAGAATTAAGACCGAGCAATCTAGGTCCTCACCGGGATAAAGAGTACACAGAATAAGAGAAAATGAATCGCTCACTCTCGACCAGTGGGGTCAGGACAATATGATGCGAAAAATGTGCATGCTCAATTCAATCCCTAACATCTCTTCACCATGAATGCAGCCTCTAAGTGCTAGAGTCACATATGGGGTGTCATCACTAACTAATCCGGAGGTCTTAGACACAGGTTCAGATGACTGGCTAGGGTCTTGGACATGGGGAAAAGGCCTTTTAGGTGGTGGAAGTATTCATACAGCACAAGGTTCCACATTTCCAAACCCAACAGATTCACAATCAATCGAACCCATAACTTTCTTTCTGCTATTCTGCATTACTCAAGTTCAAAACACAAGAGCGAAGGAGGTTACATAAATGCTAGTATTTCTAAGCCAGACTGCTAAGAAACACTATTACATGGGCATTACTCAGAGTTTTGGTGGTGGTGCTCTTTTGCTTTCATTTTTTTCTTTGATTTTCTTTCATTATTTTTTTTTTCATTTCTTAAGAAAACCACCACCTCTGAACAATTTCAAACACTTGCCCAACTTTTAAGCAGTACCTCCAACCCTCACATTACATTTAGCAGAAACAGCAGAGAAGAAGTAAAAATCACTCTGTGGAACCTTCTAAAAGATGCAAAAGGGTGACTTTTCATTGAAGACCGAAAGAAAGGGAAACACACGGCTCAAAGGGGCTGACTAGGGGTATGACACACTAGGACAGTCAATTTGGTCGTGGGCTAATCCTATGCCTCCATCATCTTAGCTAATGACAACGTGAATGCTGCATATCATGGAAGAGAAAACTATCGCACAAGAAAGAAACGAGCAGGCTCAAGTCTCACATGGCTACCTATATGCTCTATCTCTCGTTCTGATTCCCTGAACTAGATGCATAAATGACTGTCAAAAGCAAGTGATCAAACCAAGTCACATTTGGTGAGCAGACAGTTGAGAAACTGAACTCCTACACAATTCTACTGCACATCTCAGTCATCAGGATAAGTCGTCTAAGTCACACTCAAGTTGCCATGTATCAAGTCAAAAGCCATTCAATTCACTAATCATATCCACGGTGCCAATACGATCAATCAAGCAAACAGCCGTGCTTGGAGCCCTCAAATCTCAAGATTTGGACAGTGGACTAGGCTCCAAGCACACATATATATACGTTCCAATTCATACAAAGAACCCCCCCACACTTAAACGCGACAATGTCCTCAATGGAGCAGAGGGAAGGGGAACGATGTTACCGTGAAACAGTGGTCAGGAACGCTGACTGGATGGCGGACCAGCCAAAAGAAGGGGCACAGAGCTAGAGACACAAAAACACACACTGGGTGATAGAAGTCAGAGTACCAAGTCTACAATCCGAGATAAAACAAAACAAAACGAAACCACAAATCACGGAGTCTCAGTCTGGAAAACAGATAAAGTACAAAACCCGCTCTAGACAGCATCACCACCATCGCCGGTGGGTGGAGGGTACTCATCCTCAAACCCCGGGGACTGCACGAACGGGTAGTGGACCGCGTTCGGGTCCAAGCCCAAGTAGGACATGATGTAGTGCTGCCCGGACAAGATACGACGCCCTCGGTCCCGTTCACGATCAAGACGGGTGTGGAGGAGCTCCTGGCCGGCCAGGATGCGGTCATTCTGCTGTGAGATCGCCGCCAACTGATCGGAGATGGGCACCACCACTGGAGGAGGTGACCCAGGAGAAGGAGACCGGGGAGCAGGAGAGGGGCTCGCGGGAGCCTGAGCCCGACGGGGAATGCGACGGCGACCTCGGCGCCCACCAGCGGCGCTCGACTCGGCCTGGTCACCCTCGGCAGGAGGAGGTGGCTGAGGAAGGCCCTCGATCCAGCGCTGACGCCCGTGGTGAGCAAGCAGGTGCTGGTTGCGAAGAGTAGCCTCGCTGAGTGGAGACGGCGCGCACACCAAAGTCATCCAGGTGAAATCCACCCCGTAGTTGCGGGCCAGGGCGGTGATCACCGGCCCACAAACGAGGGCGCGAGTCGTGCTGATGGCTGGTTTCGTGAATGTCCTCGCCAGTACAGAGCCCAGCTGGATGGTGTCCTCAGAACGACCCATCGCATGCATCAACCAGAGTGTACGGAGCGTGACCCGGTTGGCCGAGCCTGCGCTGGGTGTGTAGGAAGTGCACATCAGGTGGTTGAGGATCCGCCACTCCGGACGGAGGAGAGAAGCCCGCGTCTGGCTGGCCACGTACTGTTGATCCACACTGTCGGGCAGGCAGATGCTCTGAAAGTACGCCTGAGAAGGGAAGTCCGTGGGATCAGCGAGATCAAGGCGTAGAGGCGGCCCACCAGCTTCCCGGGAGTTGAGGCGAAGTGCATTGGCGAACTCCCAGTAGCTGAGGGAGTGCTCCACCCCACCGAGAGTGAACTGGACTGCATTAGCGTGATCGGAATTCCCCTTCTGAGTGTGAGTGAAGGTGGCGTAGAACTCCAAGACCAACTCCTTGTAGGTCGGCTCAGCAAGGGTGAGCAGACGCCTCCAGGCAGGGGAGCAGACCGCAACCTCCATCTGTGGCCTGGCACTAAGCTCCTCGAACACCTCCCAATCGAGGTGATGGTGCTCGGCGATTTTGCGGGGGCAGAGGTTCCGCAGCTTATGGCGCTGGATAATGTTCAGCCGGTCAAGATAATCCTCCATGATCCTGCAAAACACAATGAAGGACAAAGGGTACACAAGCAAACGGGGTCAATGTTAGGCCAAACCACACCGGGAGTCCTCATACCGGTAGATATGGACAGTGGGCTAGACTCCCGGCGACACAAACATACCCATCATACGAGAAATACTAGCTGAACACACCGGGGACCCTCAAATCAAGCGATTTGGACAGTGGACTAGGCCCCCGGTTAAACAAGCAACCACAACTGCTCTAAATAGCACCAATCGAGGCATCACAGAAAAATCACAATTCACACAGGCCATTCAACATGCAATCAGCCCAATCATCCCCCAAACCCCAAAATATTCCCCAAACCATGCATTCCACAATTAAAAGTTCTTCTCCTAACTCTAGGTATCGATTCTCCAAAAATATAAGAAAAGACAAAGAGAACACACCTGGAGACTCAAGAAGATACCACGAGAAAGAGGAAGAAAGTGGAGAGAAGCACCCAAAATCGCCGGAAAACACACCGGAGACTCGCCGGAAAACTCACCGCCGGCGACCCAACCGCAGCCAAATCAGCCCAAAGCGTTGGGGAATGTGCTCCTCGACGCCAGGAGCGTGGGGGCGCTCGCGGTTTGCGATTTGGAGGTCGGGAGAGGGAGTTATGGCCGGAAAATCGAGGGAGAATGTGAAAGGGCCGATTTTCCGGCGAGGGGGGGCTGGGGGTTGTGAAAAAAAATGACTGATCTGAGGTTTGGGGTGAAAATTTTCATTTTTATAGGGGGGAGGCCGAAACACGGGCGGGCTGTTACACGGCCGTGTTTCGGGTGCTCCGCGCCCGTGTAATCAGCCTCTAAAACACGGCCGGGCTCAGAATAAAACACGGCCGTGTTTTCAAAGCCCCTTGCCCGTGTTTTTTATGCCGCGGGCTAAAGGCAAAACACGGGCGGGCATGGGGATAAACACGGCCGTGTTTTCTACCCCTGCTGCCCGTGTTTTTTATGCCGAGCCTGAAATGCCATTTTTCCAATTTTCAATCGCAAACCACCCTGATTCATTCGTGCCCCGGCTCTAAAATTTACCCAATCACACATCAAAACGAACCGCCCGAGGCACGAAAACTTTCCAGACTGACTCCAAACTGACTCAAGGACTCAAAAACCGACAAAAAATGAAATAAATAAATAAAAACAAAGGGTAGAAATGTAAACCGTGGTGGGGTTGCCTCCCCACAAGCGCTTCTTTACCGTCTTTTAGCTGGACGCCAATTGCGGAACTAAGGGTCCGCGAGCTCCACTGCTAATTCCGCACGTTCGACCTCGTCTCCCAAGTAGAGCTTGAGACGATGGCCATTCACTTTAAACGGCTCAGTTTGCGGGTTAGCAACCTCGATCGTGCCATACGGGAACACCTGCGTGACCGTGTACGGTCCAGACCACCGGGAACGGAGTTTTCCAGGAAAGAGTTTCAGGCGAGAGTTATAAAGGAGAACTCGATCACCAACCTGGAACTCTTTCGGACCCCGCAACCGTGCATCGTGGAGGCGCTTCGTGCGCTCCTTGTACAGCTTGGTGTTCTCATAGGCGTGATAACGCCACTCTTCCAGCTCCAACATCTGCATTTTTCGCTCATCACCTGCAACACTAACATCCAAGTTTAGCAGCTTAAGGGCCCAGAAGGCCTTGTGCTCTAGCTCCACGGGCAAATGGCATGCCTTTCCATAGACAAGGCGGTACGGTGAGGTACCAATGGGCGTCTTGTAGGCAGTGCGATATGCCCACAGAGCATCATCGAGCTTGGTGGACCAATCTTTGCGGGATAGGTTCACCGTCTTCTCCAAGATCCGTTTGAGCTCCCGGTTCGTCAGCTCGGCCTGGCCACTGGTTTGAGGATGATAGGCCATGGACACCTTATGAGTCACACCATAGCGAGACAACAATTTATCGAACTGACCCTGGAAATGGGTGCCACGGTCGCTTATGATGGCTCTAGGTGTCCCGAACCGGGAGATAGCTGCTTCAAAAAACCACAAACACGTCTAGCATCATTAGTGGGCAAAGCTTGCGCCTCAGCCCACCTAGAGACGTAGTCAACAGCAACAAGGATATATGTATTGCCAAAGGATGGAGGGAAGGGGCCCATGAAGTCGATACCCCAGACATCAAAAATCTCACAAGTAATAAACACATTCTGGGGCATCTCATCACGGGCAGAGATGTTACCTGACCTCTGGCATCGGTCGCACCGGCGTGCGAAGGCGTCTGCATCCTTGAAGAGAGTGGGCCAGTAGAAGCCCGACTGGAGCACCTTCCTTGCCGTGCGGTTTCCTCCGTGGTGACCGCCAGCAGGTCCTTCATGACAGTGAGATAGAATGCCCTCCATCTCACTCTCCATAACACATCGACGGATGATCCCGTCAGCTCCGATCCTGAAGAGATGGGGATCATCCCAGAAGTAGTGCTTCAGGTCGGAGAAGAACTTCCTCTTGGCGTGAGTGGTCATCCCCTTGGGCAGCTACTGGCCCACAAGATAATTCGCAAAATCAGAATACCAGGGGGTGACACTCTCCACCAGGCACATCATCATCAGCATCTCATCTGGAAAGGAGTCATTGATCTCCTCCTCGAGGTTGTCCGCAGGGGGGGCGTCCAACCGGGAGAGGTGATCGGCAGCAACATTCTCTGCTCCCTTCTTGTCCCGAATCTCAATATCAAACTCCTGCAGCAGTAAGATCCATCGTATGAGCCTAGGCTTGGCATCAGCCTTGCTCATCAAGTATCGAATCGCGGAGTGATCAGTATACACAATCACATGGGACAAGACCAGATAAGGACGAAATTTGTCGAAGGCAAACACCACCGCGAGCAGCTCTTTCTCCGTGGTGGTGTAGTTCTCCTGGGCATCATTCAAGGTCTTCGAGGCGTAGTAGATAGGTCGGAAATGCTGATCACGCCTCTGCCCCAACACAGCTCCAACAGCAAAGTCACTGGCATCGCACATAATCTCAAATGGTAAGGACCAGTCAGGAACAACCATGATAGGAGCTTGTGTGAGCTTCTCCTTCAAGGTCATAAAAGCCGCTATGCATGCATCAGTGAACTGGAAGGGGGCATCCTTCTCTAGAAGCTTCGTCAGGGGCAGAGCAATCTTGGAGAAATCTTTGATGAACCGCCTGTAGAAACCTGCATGACCAAGAAAACTCCGGATCCCCTTCACAGATGTAGGAGGAGGTAGTTTGCTGATAGTCTCGATCTTCACTCTGTCCACCTCAATCCCCATCTTGGAGATCTTATGCCCAAGAACTATGCCTTCTCGAACCATGAAGTGACACTTCTCCCAACTCAGTGCCAAGTTCGTTTCTTCACACCGTTTAAGGACAAGTTCCAGGTTATGGAGACAGTGAGAGAATGAGTCTCCATAAACCGAGAAATCGTCCATAAACACCTCCATGATCTCGCCGACCAGACGGTCAAAGATAGCGAGCATGCATCGCTGAAAAGTAGCTGGGGCATTGCATAGCCCGAATGGGATCCTCCGTTATGCAAAGGTGCCGAAGGGGCAGGTGAAAGTGGTCTTCGCCTGGTCCTCCGGTGCAATAGGGATCTGGAAGTACCCGGACATCCCATCCAGGAAACAGTAGAACTCGTGCCCCGCCAGTCTCTCCAGCATCTGATCAATGAATGGTAGCGGGAAGTGGTCCTTCCGAGTGGCGTCGTTAAGACGCCGGTAATCAATGCAGACACGGTACCCAGTCACCGTCCGCATCGGGATCAGCTCATTCTTCTCGTTAGGCACCACAGTCATCCCACCCTTTTTGGGTACCACCTGGGTGGGACTGACCCACTCGCTATCAGAAATGGCGAAGATGATCCCCGCGTCCAGTAGCTTCACGATCTCTGCCCGAACCACAGCCTCCAGGTTCGGTGTCAGTCTCCTCTGCGGCTGTCTCACTGGCCGCATCTCATCCTCCATCAGTATCCGGTGGGAGCAGAAAGAAGGGATGATCCCCCGGATGTCTGTGATCTTCCATGCGAGGGCGCGCTTGTACCGCTTCAGCAAGGCCACCAGTCTGGTCTTCTGCTCGGGTGTGAGGGTCGAGCTGATGATGACTGGCAGCTTATTCCCCTCCCGGAGAAATGCATACTCCAAATGAGGAGGGAGGGGCTTAAGCTCCAGCTCTGGTGGTTCCTCCAAGGAAGTAGCGATGCGGGTGGAGGATGAGATCGGTTTAAACAGCCTGTCGCCCTCCAAGAAGGGGCCACTCTCCAACTCGGCCAACTGCTCCGCCAGATGCGGCTCCTGCGATGCCTGCTCACCTAGCAAAATACAACGCTCAAGAACATCGTCAGTACCCGCACTCGTGATGGCGAGTGCGGTCTCATAATCAGCAAGCATATCACAGTAATCTATGTCATCATGCAAATGAGGGTGTTTCCCATTCTCAGACACAGAAAAAGTAGCCTGTTCATCACCAGCACGCAGAATCAATTTACCACTATGCACATCAATAAGCGCCTTGGCGGTGGCGAGAAACGGTCTACCTAAAATCAAAGGTACATCCACATCCTCATTTATATCCAAAATAACAAAGTCCACAGGATATGTGAATGTACCTACATTAACAAGCAAGTCCTCAATGATACCCCTAGGATGCACGATAGAACGATCAGCTAACTGAATGCTCATCCTAGTAGTTCTAGGTTCACCTAGGCCTAGCTTCTTAAACAATTTATAAGGCATGACATTGATGCTAGTGCCTAGGTCCGCCAAGGACTTCCCTACATGCATGCTGCCAATAATGAGAGGGATAGTGAAACTCCCTGGGTCTTTTCGCTTCTCAGGTAGCTTGTTCTGCAGGATGGCAGAACACTCCTCGCTCAGCATCACTGTCGAAAGATCCCCAAGTTTCTTCTTGTTGGTGAGAAGGTCCTTCATGAACTTGGCATACTTGGGCATCTTCGACAGTGCCTCCACGAACGGCATGCTGATGTTGACCTGCTTCAACATTGCCATGAACTTGGCAAACTCAGTCTCCAGCCTGTCTTTATGCAGGCGAGTGGGGAAAGGAAGCTGAGGTACATGCTCCTTAACCACTGGCTGTGGCTTGGGAGCAGGCGTTGTTGTGTCTTCCCCCACGTCTGCAGTATCAGCTGGAAGTGTTGAGGCAGGTAGTGGATCATCTCGACAGGGCTGGGCAGGAGCAGCTGATGTGGTCTTGCCACTCCTGGTAGTGATGACATCAAGCTGCTGGAGCTGGTGAGGATCCCGAGGATTCGGGACAGTGGTGGCAGGCAGAGTCCCCGGTGCCCTGGTGGTGTTCTGGCGGGCCAAGATGCCCACCTGGGTCTGCAGATCCTGCAAAATGGCACCCTGGTTCCTCTGACCTGCCTCCAGTGAGGCTACACTCTGGTCCAACCTCGTGATAGTCGCCTGAGTGCTCGTCATAAATGAAGCTAGAATATTTTCCAGCTTCGTCATCTGAGTATCTGGAGCTGGAGCTGCTGCTGGCTCGGCAAACTGGCGCTGGGGCTGCTGGAAAGGTTGCCCTTGTCGAGGCTGGTAGGGCTGCTGCTGTGGAACTGGCCCTTGTCGAGGCTGGTAGGGCTGCTACTGTGGAACTGGGCCCTGTCGAGGCTGATAGGGCTGCCTCTACTGAAAGCCACCAGCTGGTGCTGGGAAACCAGGTGGCTTGGTGGTGTTGCTGCCCCAAGAGAAGTTGGGATGCTGGCGCCACCCCTCATTATAGGTGTTGCTGTACGGGTCGAGGCGCCGAGCATTGGCGATGAAGTCCAACTGCTCTTGGGGGGTAGTAGACTCCCTCATAGCCTGGCAGTCTTCTACTAAGTGGCTCGAGCTCTCACACCACTGACACTGAGCAACTGGAGGTGCAGCCATGCCTCTGCCCGGAATAAGACTGTTGGGCTGCTTCAATGTCTGCACTAGCTCAGCTACCTGCTGCTCGAGCCCGGATCTGGACTCCATGGCGTGCACACCACGATCCCTGGAATGTCTGCCTCTGCTGCTCTGCCCCCAAGAATGATCTCTGGCAGCCAATGTATTAATCATCTGATTCAGCTCGGGTGGAGTCTTGGTGAGAATATCCCCTCCTGGGCATAAAGACTCAATCACCCTCTGGCTATCTGGGGAGAGAGCGCTGTAGAAGTTCCCCACAGTGAAAGCATCACTAAAGCCATGGTGGGGGCACTGCCAGAAGTAGCCCATGTACCGCTCCCAAGCATCACGGAGTGACTCATCTGGCTCCTGGCGGAAGTGAGTGATCTCCCGCTGAATCTCATTAGTCTTCGATGCCGGATAGTACCTGTGCACGAACTTGTCCGCCAGATCGTCCCAAGAGGTGATGGACAATGGGGACTGGGTCTCCAACCACCTCTTAGCATTCCCCGCCAGAGAATGGGGGAAGAGATGAAGGCGGATCGCATCATCAGGAACACCGTTCAGCTTGAACCCGTTTGTCAGCTGCAGAAAACGGGACAGATGTACCCTGGCCTCCTCATCCTTCAAGCCATGGAACTGGATAGAAGATGTGATGAGCTGAATCCAGCATGGCTTGATCTCAAAGTTGTTTGCTGGGATCGGCGGGTAGAGGATGACCGGGCGGATGTCAGCAATCCGAGGAGTGTAGTAGTACTCCAATGTGGGACCCGGCTGCGGTGGATGATGAACTCCATGATCCTGGGGTATGGGGTTGTTCCCCAGGACCTGATTCACCGGGGGAACCTGCTGAGGATTCCCCTGGTGCTGATTGTAGTCTCCGTCCATTCCGTGCTCTTCTTCAGAATCGCTACTCAGGTGGCCGTCTATTCGCTCTTCCGTAGCTAGTCTAGCTCGCTGTTGTCTCCTGAGCTGGCGACAGGTGCGGTCAATCTCTGGATTCAACGGCAGTAAATCTCCCGACTGGCTACGGGTCATGCACTACCTGCACACACTCAAGCAACAAACCCGTGAAGGCACAAGTGGGACAAAGAAAACAAAGCAAAAAGAAAAGCTAAATTAACAGAAATCACTTTTCTTCAACAACCTAGCCGTCCCCGGCAACGGCGCCAAAAAACTTGATTCGACTCTACTGTCACCCTAGGAATTGGCCAAGTGAAACCACTTCCTAAAGCGTAGTATAGCGGGTTTAGGTTTATATGTCAACCCGGGTCCTAGATTTGCTGACTACTCAGTGAGTTCTTGTTATCTAGCAATAAAACTGGAATGCAAGTCTAACTAACAAACTAACAAAGCAGGTAAACGGTTGTATTCAGGTTAAAGAGGTCACCCGGATATGGTTCCCCCTAGACTGCAGTTAAGCCGGATTGTAATTACCAAGTTCAGTTTCTATGATGGTTATACTGCGGAAGGTTCTTAAACAGCCTGAAGTCTCGACTAAAGGTCTTCAGACCCTCTCAATCTGACTCTCTAGCGGGCGACTAACCTCCACCGGAGTCGACAGATTGAGGCCCTAAGAACAAAACCTCCACTACCGGAGTAAATCCGGTACAGAATAGTGAGTTGGTTCCTCGACTAAAGTCACCAACTCCCTACCTTCAATCAAGGATACTCTATTAACCTAGGAAGATATTCTCATTCTAGGTTAAAGCAGAAACAACAGGAATTTGATCAGGATTCAAGTCATTCAATAATTAAAACCTCAATCGAATATAATCAATCACAGAATCAGTACTTGGGTTCATACAATCAAAGCCTAACATACAAATCTAGGGTTCTCCATACCCAGATGAATGGGAGAACTACTCCATAGAGAAGAAAGCAAAAGCAGATTCAGACACGGAATTCATACTGCGAAGGATGGATTCCTGCTTCTGGACGTTGATTGGCACTTCTCCAAGCTCAAGCTGGCCTCCAATGGTGTTGAAGATCAATCTAGGGCACTTGGGAACTCTTGCTCGTCACTTTCTCTCTCTAGAAGTCGTTCTTTCTCTCAAAAACTCGAATCCCCTTCTGTTTGGCTGAAAATCTGCTTAAAAAGGCATCAGCCAAAGCACGGTCGAGGGCACGGCCGTGCTTTGCCTGAGCCTGCCCGTGTTTCGGCCAGTGTTTAATTACACGGCCAGCAGCTGTTGGAAACACGGCCGTGCTTCGCGAGGTACACGGCCGTGCTTTGCCTGAACACGGCCGTGCTTCGGTGCCCGTGTTTGCAGCTGAATCGGCCAAACTGAATATGCTCTCGGCATAAAAAGCACGGCCAGAAGTACACGGCCGTGTAATTCCTTGGGCTGCCCGTGTTTTGGCTCCAGCTCACCGAAATGACTTCCGAATGCCCCGAAACTCGCGGTTAGCCTTCCCTTTAACGCCTGGGACCTGAAACATGACAAAATAGCACAACCCGGCGTAAAATAGGCCAAAACACACGACTATGCCCCTCAAACGGATAAGAACTAGGGGCGCAAACATGTGCAATTACATCGTTATCAGTTACTCTCCTCTCTTAAAACTCAAATCTTGGCTTAAATACTTGACTGACACGGGGATCCCTCACTAGCTAGTCCGGTTGCCAACTCATACGTATAAGAAGCCATCCAGGCTTTCCTTAAACTTAAACTTAGTTAGGGAAGTCGTAACGATTCATCCCCCTAACAACTTAAACTTATCGTGGTGGCTCTTCACCACGATTCTCAAGGGCATAACAGTTGCCCATCTTAAAAGTCTCAAGAGCATAACTGCTGCTCTATCTCAAAATGTCTCAAAAGGCAACGAACTGGCGCTAGTGAATAAAACACTTAAAACCACTTCACCTTCTTGAAGGTGAGTTACTTCTTAAAAAGAACTTTCTTCTTAACTTTATCACTAACTTATAAACTTAAAGCTTAAATTTAAATAAGAAATCATGCACATTCACATCAAGCATAGCTCAAACAAAGTCACATATCATCAACAGGATTTTTCCAAAAGTAGCACTGTTCAAAAAAACAATTCCAAAAATAGCACACAACTCCGAAAAATTCCAAAAATAGCACCCTTTCTGCAAAACCGCCACTCGTACAAGCGGTTTAGGTGAAAACCACCACCCCGGGGCGCGTTTTTCGATGAAAACCGCACTGGCAGGGGCCGGTTTTACAGACTGCACCCCTACCATGCGGTTTGGTTGCAGAACGCACCCCCACCATGGGGTTTGGTTGCAGACAGCACCCCCACCATGGGGTTTGGTTGCAGACCGCACCCCCACCATGCGTTCTGCTTTTTTTTTAAATCCTAACCTAGGTGGAAACTTCAAACGAACGTATCTTTGTGTTCGGGTATCCGATCGTCGCGAATTTTTTTTGATTCCGCATAACTTTTTGAGATCTTGCAAGTCAAAGACTGCCGAAGGTGGTTTGGTCCCGCCTTCGTCCCAAAAAAGTCGTTTGCTACCCCGAACGAGCTTTTTCCGATTTCGTCAAACCTTGGACAACCATAACTTTGTACTCCAAAATCCAAACGACATGAATTTTTTTTATTTCGCATTACTTTTTAAGGACTACAATTTTTACTAGGAATGAATTTTCAAAACAGGAATTATTTTTGGATATACTGGATTTGGGAAAAGCTTACCTTCCCTTCTCAGCAATCCACGTACATATTGAAATTATTTCTATGATAAAAGTTGTATTCCTTAAAAATTTATGCGAAATAAAAAAAAAATCATGCCGTTTGGATTTTGGAGCACAATGTTATGGTTGTCCAAAGTTGGACGAAATCGAAAAAAGCTCGTTCGGGGTAGCAAACGACATTTTTTGGGACGAAGGCGGGACCAAACCACCTTCGGCAGTCTTTGACTTGCAAGATCTCAAAAAGTTGTGCGGAATAAAAAAAAATTCGCGACGATCGGATACCCGAATACAAAGATACGTTCTTTTGAAGTTTCCACCTAAGTTAAGATTTTCAAAAAAAAAAAAAAAAAAAAAACAGACCGCATGGTGGGGGTGCGGTCTGCAACCAAACCACATGGTGGTGGTGCGGTCTGTAAAACCGCCCCCTGCAAGTGCGGTTTTCATCGAAAAGCGCGCCCCCGGGTTGCGGTTTTCACCTAAACCGCTGGTACGGGTGGCGATTTTGCAGAAAGGGTGCTACTTTTGTAATTTTTCGGAGTTGGGTGCTATTTTTAGTATTATTTTTTAAAACAGTGCTACTTTTGGAAAAATCCCTATCATCAACCATAAGCACAATCAAACAACGACATTCACTTCATCAAAAATATGCCAGACTTGTAATTCTTGAAAGAACACGTAAGGCGTAGAATTTACCCCCTTTACACTCACCTTAACCTTAATGCTCCAACCTTAGACCATCCTGTTGTCTCGTCTAAAATCCAAACTCCTAGCTCGTCGAACAACTCCACTTGATTCCACAAGTCATCTAAACCAAATCAAATTGTGCTAATTAAGAGCTCTAAACTTTGAAATTCCAACATGGACCTTCATTCTAGATAGGTATGCTCTCTAAGCATTGGGATTGGACGATTAGCATTCAACCCATGGATCATTATCCCTTCACGTGTCGATTCCTAAATACCACACACATAGTCCTCCATCATCATTGCCCTCAGCAAGGCATAACTCACGTTAATTCTTAAGGATCCTAGCCCCCATTAATTCATAAGAGAAGCATTAAACCTCCAAATAGTGCCAACCCCATGCATATATACACCAGCACCTACTGTAATCCATGCGTTCAAGTAATTCTTCAAGCATGTATTAATCCTTGGGGATTATTGCCAATTCCTTCAAACCCATAATATTTTAACTCCTCCAATTCCTTGACAAAAAGCTCTCTCTTCCGACTCCTAATTTGCCAAAAGATTCATTGCTACAGCTAAACCCCTGACTATCACGTCTCCACCTTTGTACCAATTAACCCTGTCCCTTTCTTCCTTTAATTTTCCCATAGCCATGAGATACCACGTGACTCCCAGTCCCATACAATTCTCACCGACTGAAATTTCAAGAAAAAGAGTCAAGCCAAGCCTTACCTCCGTACCAGTGCTCCCCGGTTGATCGCCAATTGTCGGAAATCTGCCATCACCGTCGATGTGAGGATCGCTATTCAGCGGCTACTCCTCTAGAGGCGGCATGTCTGAATTGGCAGGGAAGGGGAGGTGGGACGTTGATTCTTCCCGACAATAGTGGAGAACGATTTCCAGCGTCGCTCGATCCAAAGATATTTTGTCGGCGGCGCTCGATTCTTCCAGATAGCAATGGATATAAAAAAAAGGTTTGGGGATATCAAAACGAATGGGAGGGTTTTTTTCGGGAGGGTTTTGACATATAATAATAATAATAATAATAATAATAATAATAATAATAATAATAATAATGCTAGCACTTATTATTTTTATTGTTATTACTCTTATTCCACATTTGCAACTGTTCTGCCGGGCAACCATCAATTTTGGCCGCGTCAATTATTTAGGCCTTGGTCCTGAACCCAGATTGTATTGTTCTTTTCGTACGGAGTTGTCGATCTAACCGTTCGGTCGAAACCTAATCAAACCTAAACCCGAACTCGGGGTGTTACATCGCGGGCAGGCATGGCAGAGATCGCAAGCGCGATATTCTTCATGGAGGCCGAGATCTTGCGATGCTGCCGTTTTGGCCTTCGGGGACAAGGAGTTCGCGAAATTCCTCGCAATCAGTTTGCACTGTACAGGTCATGTTTTGCCTGGGGAAACTCTCTATTTCTCTTCGGCTGCTTCTTCATGATGTTCGGGCCCTGAGCCCTCCAATTCCCGATAGCAATCTTGGACTTCCAGGCCGCGATATTTAGCATGACTTCCCAGGCAGCGTACTCGGCCGTGATATCTATCTCTAGGACACGATCTTCGGCCTTCAATCCCTTTTCCTACACTTGTGAGCTTATTTCGTACCTTACTCGCATGTATTGTCTAAAGCACCCTTAAGTCACATTGAAATCAAATAGGAACAAAATAGGAATGCAATTGACATTGTTCAAACAATTATGCACAAGAATTGACACGAAAAAAAACCTTAATATGAAGGGTAAATAACACCAATTTAGGTGTTATCATTTTGCTTGAGGAAACTCTCTGTTTGTCCTTGGTTGCTTCTTCACAAAGTTCGTGCTCTGAGCCCTCCAATTCGCCCCCGCAACCTTCAACTTGACTTGATAGGCAGGGTTCGAGGCCGTGATCTCTATCTCTAGGCTACGATCTTCGGTCTTTTCCCCTTTTGCTACACTTGTGACCTTATTTTGTACCAAATTCGCATATATTGTCTAAAGCACGCTAAATTCACATTGAAATCAAATAGGAACGAAATTAGAATGCAATTGACGTTGTTCAAACAATTATACACATGAATTGGCACGAAACAAACCTTAATATGAATGATAAATAACACCAGTTTAGGTGTTATTAGCTATGGGAAACCCAAGGTCAAGTGGTTTGGGTGGCGATGGCTTCGAAATATTCTCCCTACAGGAGCAAGGATTTTGGAAAGGACCCAAAAGGGCAGTGAGGGGTGCTCTTTTTGCAATCTAAGGGAAACTCAGGAGCATGTTCTTAGGGAGTGTGGTTGGGATAGAAGGGTTTGGAGGAATAGTCCGATCTGCAATCTCTTCGAGAATGGTGAGAATCTTACCTCAGTGGAGTGGTTTTGTAAGCTCTAGGGGACAGAATTAGAGGAAACTTTGGGCTCGTTCCTAGTAGCGCTCTGGTACATCTCGGATCAACGAAATTGCCATTTGTGGACTAAAAAAATTTGGAAGATTGGGAAATCATGCCTAGAGCGAGGGACTGGCTGAACGATTACCTAGAAAAGCAAATTTGTCTTCAATCGCAGACGAGGGAGGAAGACCGAAGATGGCGACCACTGTACCTGGCTTCGGTCAAAATAAATGTTGATGCACCATGCATTCTAGAGAGAGTGACGGGCTAGGGTGTGGTGATTCGAGGTAGAGATAGAAAGTATCTTTTTGCAGGGGTGAAACGCTCATGGATCCAGTGGGAACCGTAGGTGGCGGAGGCAAAGGAAATTGAGTATGGTCTGGAGCTGGCGAGGAGTTTGGGATTTCCAAAATGGAGATCGAATCAGACTATTTGGGGGCGATCCAACAGCTACAAAAGGAGGAAGAAGGAAGAACGGAGCTCGGGCTTCTCTGTACAAAGGTGCGGGCTCAAGCCCAATCTTTTCAAAGAGTGATCTGAGTTTTACGGGCCGGGAGAAAAATAAATCGGCCCATTTGATGGCCCAGGTGGAGTGTAGATGGGAAGAGGAAGAAGTATGGGTTGATTGTCCACCTTTTTTTCTTGTACCTCTCCTTAGAGAGTATTAACTTGGAAACTCTTATGATATTTGATTAAAATGAATGCAGTTTTCTTAAAAAAAAAAATTCTCTTTTTTATTTTCAAGCTTCTTCTTCCTTACTTATTTCTTCACAATATGTTTTATCTTTTACCATGTGTTGTTGAAACTTTACAAACGAGAGGTAGATGAATGATATTGGTTCAAAAACTTATGATTCTTGCAAGTGTGAGATATTTTTTTTCTACTTTTACATCTAATGATTAAACACGTCTAAGAGAAGGTTAAACATTTAGGCGCAAGACAGTGCCTAAATGCATTGCTCGCTTTACCTCTAGCTTTTTCTTGAACCTTGTACATACATATAAAAAACATTGTTAAAAAAAAGATCTTTTTCTCGATATTTAGATAGTAGTATTAAGCTCTACTTGACCAATAGGCCAAGTCTCGAAACAAAACTGATGTTCTTTACGCCATATCAACACTCATAGATGTCTTGTACTAAAAGCAAACTAAACAGAAGTAAACAATTTGTTTTCCTTCTGTTTAGCTTATGAATCTCACAGAGATAGGCAAACTGGAAAAGGTGATCTTAGAAACGTCCGAATCATAATGTGGAAACAAATAATTAGAGTTGTGAATATTATTTGATGTTAGTGTTAATTGATGAGCCACTAGGCACTAGTAATATACTTCCACGCACATTCGTCATCTTTTTCTTATATACTCACCAAACGTCTGTGGGAGTGGAAAAATCAAGCAAGATGATGTGGAATCCTTTCAATCAGTTCGTCCAACAAAATTAATAATAATAATAATAATAATAATAATAATAATAATAATAATAATTGAAATCCTTTCAGTCAGACTCAGAGAAAAGGTTGATCAATAGAGTGCTACGGCTAGTGTCATGCTTTGTCATTGATGAGGTAGTCAGAGTGTCAGACTCAGAGAAAAGGTTGATCAATAGAGTGCTACGGCTAGTGTCATGCTTTGTCATTGATGAGGTAGATAACTTGATTTTGCAATGGTTTAAAGCATTAGTGTTTTACAGACCGTTTGGTATCATATGAATCGAGAATTTATTTTATTATAAAAAGATTTATTGTGTAGAATTCATTGTCAAATAAAATTTTGTGTATGGTATGTCATATTCAAAACGTTGGAAATAAAATAAATTATCGTGTAGAATTCAATGTCAAATGAATTCATGTGTTTGGTATGTCATATGGATAAGTAATTTAGTTAATAAAAGAGGATAATTATGTCATTTTATTATAATTAGTAAATACTTGTGGAATTCATTTGGAAATTCAATCTCAATTCCTCGGAATCGATATAACTAGTTCTATTTCCGTAGAATTCAAAATTTAGAATTGGAAATGAATTCTTGTATATACCAAATACCAAAAAAAAATTCATTTCAAAACAAATTATTCAAAACTTATGGAATTCATTTATATCAAACGGTATGTTAGTTTTAGTTTTTATAATATAATTTGAAGTTGTATTTTTAATGTTATGGTATAACTTCTTGTTGTACCTATATCTTTTGTAAAATTCTTTTATGATATAAACTAAAGTTATACCTTTATATTATAGTACAATTTGAAGTTATACCATAATAAAAAATTTAAATTCCCTTATAATACAACTTCAACTTGTACTTTTAACTTTATGATAAATGTTTAAATTGTACTTTAAAACACTAATACTTTAAATGAATCGATATTTGTCGCCCGGGTATTTATTATTTGTCGCCCATAGTTTTATAAAAAGTCAATTTTTCCCTTCAACGATTTAGAAACCTACCTAAACTGCCCTTCCGGCCGCCGGTATCGCTGACCTCTCGTTTGTTCTGCAAATCCCGGCCACAATTCTCCCTGACCTTCCTTTTTTCCCCCGCAATTTCCGCGACGATTCCTTCTCTTTTTTCTTTCGCGACAATCCCTCCCTCCACCATCTTCTTCCACTTTCCAAGATCCCAATCTCCCCATTTTTGCGTGGCGGCTGCGGCGAGTGAATCGCCATGGGAGCAAGACCTGGCCAGATCGGAATGAGATGGTTGGTTCGACTGCGACAATCGGACGGAGATGGGTGGTCCAACGCTAGCAATCAGACGGTGTAATGGTCAGGAGTGAACTGTAAAATGTATTAGTTTAGGGACTGCTTTGTAATTGAGCAAGTCATATAAATAGGTAAACCTTGTACTGAAATCATTATCGAATAACAGAAATCAGTTTATCAATCTTCTTCTTCCTATAATCTGCCTTCTCCCTTCTTCTCCTGCTTCTGTTCTCCCTCTTCTTCTCAATCTCTCTTCCTTCTCCTATAATTCTCCTTCTGATTCTCCAATTGAGATCTCCATTCCATTCCTTTGATCGATTAACTCGCTAAGAAGATCCAGTTCCGACTCCGACTGTTACAAATTGGTATCAGAGCCAACTCTTGGCAAATGTCAACTATCAACGCGAGATTGGATGGTTGGGAGGCTTTCGAGGCTCGAATGGACGAGTTCAGCAACCAGCGCAAAACCATCCTGGCGCGATTGGCAGCACTCTTCCCCCAGAGTACGGATTCCCATCTCACGGCGATGGACGAGAGGTTGGAGTTGCTCGACCGTGGACTGGGTTATTGGGATGGACGATTTGATGAACGGCTACTGTTTCTTGCCGCCTTGGAGCACCGGGAGCTGATGGTGGTTTTCGGCCAACCACCTGTTCGACAAAATGCCGAGCTGATGAAATGCTTGCTACCAACAACCGGAGCTCCCGCACAGGACAATGTCGTATCTCAGTTGCGGTCTCTTGCCATTCACGGTCCTCGACTGTTTCCACCTTCTGGATCAGCTTTTCCCTTCTTTTCGGGTAAGTGTCCAAGAACCTGGGTTAGGTACTGCGAGGCATGGTTTAGTGAGAATCCTATGGCTGACCATGAGAAGGTTGTCATGGCAAAAGCCAATTTTGGTCTTAGTGCCTGGTTTTGGGGGTGGTCTTATGGCCGGCTAGTGGTGCTTTGGCGGGAACTGGCTGAAGCAGTATGCAGCCATTTTTTTGATTCCGATGAATTTGTAGAGTATGATGGTGCTCCTCTTGCTCATGCGGAATTAGAAATGGACGAAGCCGATGCGTATGATGAGTTTGATGATTTGTATCATGCTGTTAATATTGGTGAGGATTGCCTATACCTTGATTTTATGTCAGTTTCACCACTGGTTTTTCCAAATCGTTTTTCCTATTTGGGGTCTTTGGACAAACTGGACAGGAATGACTATCCTGTGGGTGATGGCTACTCGATGGTTGCTAGAAATATTCACTTCCCAGATGTTGCAGTTGTTAAGAGACGCATTACCATTGTTTTCAATTTAGCGCTTAGAGCCTTATCTTCTAATGGAATTGGGCTGGAGTTTACAGTGGGCAGATCTGAGGTCCCTGTTGATTCGGGTCATTATATAGTGTGTGTGGATTCTTTTGGCATAGTTCTTCCTCATGTCAGTGGTAGTAATCCTGATTTTTGTGAAGCATATAAAGCTGCTTTTCCGAACTCACAACTTACTACTGCAAATGCTCGGAATGGAACTATGGTGGCTCCACCATTCCCCTTCGTATTGGCGGAAGATGGTGAAGATTTAAGTGCAGCAGACAATGTAAAACTTGAAGATCAAAAAGCTGCTTCTTTGCTTGGAATTGCAGACACCTATATTAAGTTGTTTGACCCGGGTGGAGCTGGGTTACCAAGTGATTTCATTGCTACTGGATCACCTCGCAAGCTGTACATCTCATGTGATTTTGAGGTTGACGACAACTACTGTTATGCCGTGGTATCTAAGGGCAGGGGTGATTGTCCCAATTTTAAAGGACCATATAAGGATATTCTTGCAAGCCAAGCTGTTCTCAGTGACAGGTTTAGTTGGGTGTCTATAGAAGCTTTGGATTTCAATGGCTGTAGTGGAAGTAATTTGAGGGTTGGTGATGCTTTTCTTGGGATATTGGCGGTTAAGGGTTCCAGGATCAGTTCTGAAAATGATACATCAGCCATTGCTTTGGTTCAAGTTCTTGATCGGCTAGCCATTGATTTCATTACTTGTCTTGCTGATGTGGATGTTGAGTTTGTGGCTGTCAGGCGGGAGTGCTGCCACTCCGGTGTGGGGTATGGTTTCACTTCTGAATTGGTAGGGTGCAGTGGGGAACTGGGGCATCGTAGCTGGACTCATGGATATAAGATTTTTCCTACCTACTATGGCGTTAGTGTACATCACTCGGTGGGTGGCTGTAGTTCTTCCTCGAAGCAGCAGCAATGACTTGGTTTCCTTGGGACAACCGGCTTTCAACTATTTCCACTTTCAGCAAGAGTTCCACGATGTGACAAGGGCAGATTACAACAATGCTTCCTATTGCAGCAGTGAGATCCCTTCAACCGACAGCATTTGTGGTGTTGTTGGGGATTGTTGGAATATGGAAATATGTTGGTTAGTTTCAGCTTGTCCAAACAACTTGTCATGATGCAATTGTTATAGCTTAAGTTTCTCTTTGTTGGTCTTAATTGTTCTTCAGACTTGAGGACAAGTCTGTCCTGAAGAGGTCGGGATTGTAATGGTCAGGAGTGAACTGTAAAACGTATTAGTTTAGGGACTGCTTTGTAATTGAGCAAGTCATATAAATAGGTAAACCTTGTACTGAAATCATTATCGAATAACATAAATCAGTTTATCAATCTTCTTCTTCCTATACTCTGCCTTCTCCCTTCTTCTCCTGCTTCTGTTCCCCCTCTTCTTCTCAATCTCTCTTCCTTCTCCTATAATTCTCCTTCTGATTCTCCAATTGAGATCTCCATTCCATTCCTTTGATCGATTAACTCGCTAAGAAGATCCAGTTCCGACTCCGACTGTTACAGACGAACGAAGACGCTCAGTTCACCGGGCTTCAGACGGGGATCCCCCGCCGGAGTCGGACCGGATTCGTTACCTGCGTCGCCTGGTGTTACTCGCCGACGACATTTCTTTCCCCGAAAAACTATTGGACTCCTAATTAATATTAAAATTTTAAATATTGTATTAAATAATTATTAAATACCAAAATTTCTCTAATTAACCCAAATACATATGCATTTCTCTAAGTAACATCCACCGGTAACTGTGGAAAAAATAATTAAAGAAGACAAGATATGGTAATCATCCCTAATTGACAACCGCAAACAATTCCCTTAGTTGACTTGTATTCCCTTAATTAATACGTCTAATTCGATAAACCATGTTTAATTTCATTTACTAAAAATTGACATCCGAAAAAAATTTCTTCATTAACATATTATATTCCATAACTTATGTTTAATATCAATTCCCTAATTAACAATAGGAAAAAATTCCCTTAATTAACACGACTGAGCCCATAATGGAGATTTTGTATTATTAATCACAACCCAAATAAATCCTTTAATGATATCATACGTGGGTATTGGTTCTAATAATTATAAATTTAAATAATTATTTATTGATTTGTACAATATTTATAAGTATTCATAATTTATTCATATAACTAGGGTTTAATTTTAACCATGTTCGTATCCACATTTCTTTCCCCGGTTACACCTTCTACCCCTCCCAAACCCTAAACCCTTATTCCAACCAAATAACTACCTTCAACCTCTATCCATCCAATCCTACTACGACATTGTCTTAGAGTCGAAATCGCCTCTTCCTATACTAACTACAATAATTCGCCTCATCTAAATACGCATGGTAGGCCCAAGAAACTGTTTGTTACAACCCCCAGAGCTCCCAAAAACCTCGATGAAAGTTTTGACATTATTCATAATTTTTTGGCCCGAACGTCTAATCGAGAAACAGTCGATTCCAATATGTTCGTATCCACAGTTTAGTGGAGCGGCGAGGGTTTCAATAATTTTTCACATCAATAGCTCTAGTAGTAACTGCGAAAAGATACTTTTGTAGCCATTTAATCTAATTTAATAAGTATTTTATAGTCATTATTTCTACACAATTAAATGAATTATCCATAAGTAGTATAATATTTTGATCATTTATAATTAAATATCCATAATATTATACAATATTTCTGATAAATTATAATCACTTTAAAATCATATAACTAATTTAATGAGTATTTTATAGCCATTCTAACTAATTTAATAATTTTGTATACTTTTCTCTTTTGTTTTACGAGTGAATCCTTGGGGTCGGTTAGCTTGACTACCCCTAAAGGGGTAGTGATTTTTGACACCCCCTTTATGATTGGCCAATTTTATTTCCAATCATTGGCAAGTATTAATTAAATTGGTTTTTTATTTTTTTTTAATCTTGTAATTTGGGGTCTCTCACCACATTGGAAAAGAGAAAGAATATGGGGAAAAACGAAATCACCCCCATTAATTACATAATTAATTTCTCTCACTGGTACATTAATTACACGTACCACTCCACTGGTACACGTACCACTCCACTGGTACACGTACCACTCCACTGGTGCGAGCAATCCACAAGGTAGGTTAGAGTGAGAACAATACTAGTGCAATGATATTTTTCATAACAATGATAAACAATAACGGAGCAACAATGCAGTACCACTTCAATGATACAAATACCACTCCACTGGTACACGTACCACTCCACTGGTACACGTACCACTCCACTGGTGCGAGCAATCTACAAGGTAGGTCAGAGGCGATCCCAGGATGGCGGCAGCTGGAGATAGGAGGATGGTGGTGGAGGGTTTTGGTCGTTTCAGAGTAGAGGAGGGTTCTGGTTAAAATGAAATCAAAATGGAAAGAGGGCCCAAATGGAGAGAGAAGGAGACGAAAGGAAGAAAAAAAGGCAATTAATTGCACATTTGGGGGGGAGCTTTTTTCTGATTCCCCATATTCTTTCTCTTTCCAATGTGGGTGAGAGACCCCAAATTACAAGATTAAAAAAAATAAAAAACAGTTTAATTAATACTTGCCAATGATTGAAAATAAAATTGGCCAATCATAAAGGGGGTGTTGAAAATCACTACCCCTTTAAGGGTTAGCATAGTATCCCACCCCGTGAATCCTTATCTCGTTAATTAGTACCAACCTAATTTAACATAATTATAGTTAATCTTTCCTAATTAAATGATAATACGGATATTGATATAAAATTATAAAAATAATCCCTCCTTATCCACCCCACTTACGGCAGATCCTTTTTCCACTATCATTTACTATAATAATAAATCATAATATTAATAAATTCCTCCCCAATAATCAACATCTAATGCTTACTAAAATGGGGCCTAATTTTCGCAAAATTAAGGGGTGATTAATCCGCAAATGAATCCTTATTTATTTCTCTCTTTATAATTAAATTATGTCATATTAATCCTCTACTTAATTTCCGAAATATTATTGGTCCTGAACTTTCATTGATGAATAGTGGATTGGGATTCATTCTTATTGGTTCTGTTGGGGGAATGAATATGGGCCAGCCCAAAAGGAAAAGCCCAAGGAAGGTTATTAGTGGACCGCAGACGTGGGCCCAACCAGAGGAACTTAGAAAGCCCATGGGGCAGGAACCTTGGGCTGAAGGGCGCATGGACAAAGGCTCGAATGGCCAAGATGACGTGTGAGACAGGATGGGACCGGGCACCTGGTGAAAGGCGTATGGGACAAAAGCAACCAACGGTCGAAAGTGTACGAAAAGCTGATCACATGACGTCATGCGCCTCAGACCTCTTACCGAGGTGTCAGGTTGTCGAGGCGCATTCGGGAGCGGTTACGGTGCTAATTGTACAATAGTTAGCACCGTCCTAACCAAGGGAAAAACTACTACTAGTTTGAATTAGTAGTGATTTAGCTTAGATGTTGTATTGATTTTATAATAATCCGTAGTGATTTCGTTATTTTTAGTAGCGTTTTTTGCTAGTTATCACGGTGCTAACCCCTATAAGGGTTAGCACCTAATCCCATCCCGGCGCATTCGCAAGGGCTGTACGACGCATTTATGGCGGACCTGACACAGGGCGAGAGCGACGGATACCGGTCGATCTCGCCCTAGGTATAAATAGTGGAGTATGTAAACCTCATTTACTCAGTTTTGCTTCTCTTACTAGATATGTTACTTACTTCTCTCTCTAAAAAGAAGGGTTCTCACTTGGTCGTCGGAGTGCTAACGGACCAAGTCGGTCCGCTAGGCGCTTGTGTGTGCAGGAAGGCGAAAGGAGAGAAGCACGTGGGAGATCGGAGTGCGAAATGTAGAAAGAAGGCTTCTGGGCATAAACAGGTTCCAACTTCCAACCATCTTTTCCATCACCAGATCCCAGAAGAAGCGGCACGAGTCGCCAACAGGAAGCACGGTAGTCCGCCCGCAGTCGTCGGATGGGGTCCACGCGCAGTCGTCGGAAGGGGTCCGCACGCCGTCGTCGGCCGAGTGTCTGGTAAGTCGATGAGGGGAGGACGATGCCGACGTTCTGGGAGTTATTTTGGGGTTGGATCGTCTCGTGAGGATTTGTGGTGGTCAGCGGGGATCCCTGACGGAGGGAGGAAGTTATTAGTCAGGTTTTGATTGTGAGGGTGATAATCGTGAAGGGAAGACAAAAATGTCTTTTACTTAAAATTTATGGGCGGCAATTTGTAATTCTATGAACGGCAAATAATAATCATCTACTTTAAAGCCTCAATACTCCAAGTTGTACTTCAATAAATTTCACCATTCGCTGAGAGCCAGGCAGCCAGATACTGTATGTTTCACCCTGAGATCTATTTATGCGTTTCCTTGCTCTAATTTCTTCCATCGGATTAAATTTGAACTGCCCCAGTTTGTAAAAGAGGACAAACAACAACCATCCTATAGATTGAGTGCTGAATGGGTGGGCACTGGGCACTGGGCACTGGGCAGTCGCTTTTTTCTTATTAAGGAGGTCGGTGATATAATTCCCACCACAACTGTATCTTTTTTCTTCTTCTTCCGTTGAATACATCCACAAACGAAAAGTTGAAACCACCAACTCAAACTCCGTCACTGTCACTTCGCAGCTCACCACATAGGGATTACAAACACATTTAGTGCTCGGATTATATCTTGTTGTAAAAAAAAACATACTGATCAATGCTACTTCAAAAAATTGTAACAAGATGAAGTTGCCGCAAATGTTAATTTTAATAGATTAATAGAATGATTCTTCATTTTAATAAAATTTAATAGATTAATAGAATGAAATTGCCGCAATTTTTTTAAGATGCGGTTTTGATTTAGTCATTTGCGGGCAAATATTTAAATGGAAGAGAAAAGATAATAACCGCTACAATTACAGTTTCTTTGTACTCGGATTCCCGATTGAAATCCAGCAACAATGTAGTAGTGTTTATAATAGGTTATCTAATCTATTATAATCATATTGGTAAATAATTAGGTATACGATCTGTCATGTAAAATAATCTGCATTTGAAATAGTTCGAGTGATGTCCTTAAGATAAGATAAATAATTACATTGCTCCTAATTATACTATATAAAATTAGGCATTGTCCAATAAGACAACAATAAGGTTTGCTATAGAAAATGTCATGGTTACTAAATGTTAAACTCCTATAATGTAAATATTGTGATAATCAAATGTTAAACTCCTAAATAATATGCATTTGAGATTGATGCACTAACAAAATATTTTTAGGTAATCATAATGTATGATATATTGGCTTCCACAATTAACAAATTAACCGACCTGATTAAACATTAACTTGGTTAATTTAATTTTTATATTAATTTAGTCGGTTTGGTTATGATATTGTATTTCATAATTAATAGAATTTGACTTAATTAATTTGATAATTATCATCGTAACCTCTTTCGCCTCCTCCGTCTTCTCTGTTCACCCCCTTTCTTCGTCTCTGTTCAACTCGTAGCTACTTTGTTGTCCAGTAACTCTCGAGTTTAGCTGATTTTTAGGGATTCAAATCTCTGATCTCGATAACGGCAGGGACGTCATTGTTGGTGGCGTCGGGGAAGATGAATAGAACGAGAAACGAGAGGAAGATCTAAGAGCTCATGGTGGAGTGGATCTCCCTCCGGTCATCGTCAGCAAGTGCGTTGACTCGGCTAGATCTGGTGTTTTCTTATATTGACGAGGACGTAATTTGGGCGTCGGATAGCTGGAGGGCAGGATGTGCGAGGTGGACTTATTGGAGAAACGATAATGAATGAACCAGAGGTGCTCGGCATCGCTGATAGATTCACATGCTTTTAATATTGATTAGGCTATTATTGGTACTGATAATGCATGTTCTGGTATGGATAAGGCATTTATTTTTAGGTTTGGATATTGATTTTTAGATTTCTAGTCTACATTGAGTTATTATTTATGGTATCAATTTGGTTACTTTTTGTAAAGATGTTTAAGTTTATGCCATTGGTGGTTATTTGTGGCATTGATTTGTCATAGTACGGATTGGCAAGCTTTTGGTGTTGATTATGCGATTTATGGTGTTGATTATTCGATTTATGGTGTTGATTATGCAAGTTCTGGTCTGGATTGTTAAATAGTAACTGGTATTCATTCCTGGGTTACTAGTATGCATTTACCAATTTTTTATATTGATTTGGTGATTTATGGCATTCACTCGTAACAAGTTTTGATTATCAGGTTTTTGGTATAGATTGAGTTACTTCGGTTATGCATTCGTACCTGGTATAGATTTTTAGGTTTGTGGCATCGATTCAAAGATTTGTGGTATTGATTTAGTAGCTTCTAGTATGCATTTCATAACTGGTATGCATTTGTGCATTCTGGTATTCATTATGCGACTTCTGGTGTGCATTCTTCTACCCTCATCTCCATCTTCGAAATTCAGCCACTAACATCCAGAATCATGATTTGTTCTTGAAATTTGTTTGTTGGTGGCGGTACTCCAACATCTGACGACCTAATTTCGGCGACCTTTTCGGTTCCCAGATTCCGGTGACCAAAATCTGTAATCAGAAATAAATAAAAAATTCATAGTTAATAAATGATGAATGTCAATTTCAAAATAAGAGAGAGAGAGAGAGAGAGGAAGGATCGCTAGTTTGTAAGGGACGGAACGGAAGGGGAAAAAGGGGGAAAAGTAATATTATTGAATTCACCATCATACCATTCATTAAAGTTTACACGGAAAATAGTGGTCAAACCCTTCCCAAGACAAAAGTCTACCTAATGGAAGCTTTCTATTGGCTGACACCAATGTTGTCGTAGTAACAACACCTATATGTGTTGTTACCGTATCCACTTTTTATAGAAGACCCGCCAAACATTCATCCAAAATACCCCATGCTTTTTGATAAAAGACCCGCCAATATTTCCTACATTTCTCGAGCCTTGGCGAATTTTTAGTCTCATCATCACCGCCAAATCAACCGATTATCTTAGGATTTGTATTATAATTTGATCATTATAATTCTTCTTATTATTTATATTATAATAGGACAATATCAAAATTTCCCATTTGTTATAAGATAATAAAATTATCAAATACAAAATTTACTCTATTTATATTTAATTGATAGCTTTGTTGAAAGACTATATATTATATAATACACTAATTCAGGTCAATCGAGCGGGTCGTGTGTTAGTCGGTTTCAGGTCAATCGGGTTATGGGTTTAATCGGGATGTGGGTCAATCATGTTTGAATTAATCAGGTTGCGGGTCAATCGAGTTACAGGTCGGACGAGTTGCGGGTCATAGGTTTAAGTCGATTCGGATTGCGGTCGGGTTACGAATCGATATGATCAATCGGATTATTCGAGTCGGGTTTTGTTTTGACACCTATAATTCGAGTATCTTCTTCATTCATAAATATATATTCTTTTGTTTCAGAAAAAATAAGGAAGAAAAAATCGTCTACAAATGAGAAAGCAATAGTTACAGCGGGCATGTCAACCTCGGAGTGGGCACAGCCACGAGTCGGGTGGCCCGAGGAGCGGTGAGTCCGAAAACATCACTCATATCCAAATCATTGGGCTTCATCCCGTCGGGCAGCTCCCATTTAAAGCAGTGGAGCAAGTGGGCCACCCCAAGATCTAGTGCATACAGACCCAGCTGCATCCCTGGGCAGGACCTCCGACCCGACCCAAACGGCAGGAACTCGAAGTTGCTCCCCTTCAAGTCTGGCATCCCTTCCTTGAGAAACCTGGCCGGCTTGAATGTGTCCGGGTCGGGCCACGAGTTCCGATCACGCCCGATTGCGAACGCGTTGATCATCACCCGCGACCTCTTCGGAACGAAATAGCCGCACACCTCCGCATCCTCCGCCGTCTCGTGGAGGAGCAACGGAATCGGCGGGTGGAGACGCAACGTCTCCTTCAACGTGCACTTCAGGAAGCTCAACTTCTCGAAGTCGCTCTCTTCAACCCGGCGGTCCAAGCCGACAACCTCCGCCAGCTCTTCCTGAACCACTCGCAGGTCCTCCGGGCTCTTCATCAGTTCAGTCATTGCCCACTCGATTGCCGACGCTACGGTTTCAGTCCCACCAAACATAACATCCTGCAGCCAAACCAATCCCAACACAACAACCCCATTAATTTTTATTTTCTTACTCTATTTCCAAAATAAACCCAGTGCAAAATTACTTTCCCTCATACATGATGGAGTCCAAGTTGATGACATTATTTTATGGACACTAATCCAAAGCGTAGGCTTAGTTGTTTTAAATGTAATTTCTGCTTCATGCGATTCTAAAACATGATTCCTCAACCCTTACGTGTCCTGGCCAATCAAATTAGCAACGCGACAAGTTCAGCTCTCTATCAATAATACAAAACCTATAGCTTTTTTTCCCCCGGTAAGTTTGTTTTGAAAGTTTAGTTATGAAAGTTTTACACGTACGTAATTGGGGAAACAAATTAATTAAGGGGAAATTTCGATGAATAATGTGAATTGCTTACCATGATGATGGCTTTGATGTTGTCCTTGGTAAGCTTTAGAGAGTCGGCGGAGTTATCGGTAGCCTTGTTCTTGTTCCTGTTGTTGTTGGCATCTTGGTCGTCGTAGAAAGCCAGCAACTCGTCTACCATGTCCGGGTTAGAATCGTCCGCCTGGTTTAGCCTCCTCTTCTCCAGGTGCTCGTCCACGATTTTATCAATAAATATATCAAGAGCAACTCTGGCCTTGACAAGCCTAGAGTTGAGGCCCTGTGGGTCCATCCATCCTAGCCCGGGGATGAAATCAGCAATGTTGAAAGCCCCAAACAGCTTGGAGAACTCCTGGAGAATCTTGATGAACTCGTCCTGGCCCTCGTTCTTGGAGCCGAAAGCCGCCCGGTACGTGATGTTCATGGTGAGGGTGAAGATGAGCTCCCCGACGTTCATGGGCTTGCCGGAGTTGGCGGCAACGGTGGAGACCATGGAGTCAACCTCGTCTCTGACGGACTCCCATGACTCGGCCCGCTTGCGGCTGAAGAGCTTCATGACGCTGATTTTGCGCATCTGGCGCCAGAAAGGACCGTAGTGGGCGAAGGCCATGTCGGAGCGGTCGTAGGTGAGGTAGCTGATTGCGATGTTGGCGGGGCGGTTGGAGAAGATGTTGTCCTGAACCTGCAGGACCTGCCGCGCCACTTCCGGGGACGACACCGTCACCATGTGGAGGTTCCCCATTTTCATGTGGAAGATTCCGCCCCACTGCTGGGCTAGCTTGGCAAGCCCGCGATGAGTGAGCTGGTCCATCATCAGCATGTTACCGATTATGGGCAAGCCCTTGGGCCCAGGCGGGAGTGGGAGGCGGCTGCGGCGGCGCGTGAGGATGGGAAGGAGGAGGAGGAGAAGAGGGAGGGCGAGGTAAAGGACGGTTTGGAGGATGGAGTACTCCATTTGCTTATCTTGCGGCGGAGGGGTTGGTGGCAGATCTTTGGCCGGAGTCGTTATGTATACAATCAATAATAAGTGAGTATGGTGAACTTGTCCAAGCTTAAGATAGCGAGCTAGCTACTTTCCTGAGGGATATGCGATTGGGGAGTTGGGTATTTATATATAATTACGGGGGAGGTAGAGAGGGAACAAGCAGCAAATTGAAGGAAAGAAGGGGGTGGGTGGGTCAAGGCAAGTCAAGTGGTAATGTTTGGATCCCAAAAGACAAAAAAAAAAAAAAAAAAAAAATCGTACAGAGGGGATATCCTGCAGAGTTTTGGAGGCAGCAGCAGCAGCTAATCAGCTCTATGTATATATTAGTTGGCGACTCCAAGTTTGAATATTTCAGCTTTCTTCTTCTATAGCGCCGGTTAGCTGAATTGGTATACTATTCTTCTGCCTTAACTATTCCTTGTTGTTTTGTTTAGTGGACTGGACGTGTGGTGTGGTGCGGCCTAATGAGAGATGAGACTTTTATTTTTATGCATCCAAGTCGTGGTCATAGTTTGTATGCGATTAGTGTATAGCTAGTGGACAAGAAAGAAGAGTATGGTTCGGGGAAAGAGCGGGTACATTTTTAAATATGTTCCTTGATTATATATATTTATATTATTTACTAATATGTCATAGATTTTCTATATATATTTAAATAGACTATTGATGGATAGTCGACATTTGAAACCAATATTCACCCTTTATCTGTTTTTTTTTACTACATGCAATTTCTAAATGAGAAAGGAATTTTTCTATTTTTCAATCGTATCTTCTTCATATTAACGAGAAATTCATAATTATTACATAAAAAATACATTAATTATGAAGTAAATAATTATATCCATTTTGCTATTTTGGATTTTTCTTTCATCTTATCAACATCGATCATACAAATTATCTTACCATTGTGGTAAAATTTCATACAATTATCTTATCACTATCATAGCATGATCTGACCACTATGTTAATACTTCATAGTACCACTTTATCACAGTTATACCATAACCTTTACCACTATGATAAGACTTTATACTATAATCATACCACGTATATACACAATGGTCTTACCATATGCTACCAATACCATCATACCACTATCATATAAATCAAGAATATGACAATAGTAAGATAACGTTGAAAACATCACCAATACACATGTTTATTACCTCATTGTTGATAGTTTGTGATTGACTTCTTGCATTTTAAGCCGATTTCATGCTAGGTTATGCCTATTTGTTGTATTTCAGACCATAGAAAGTGAATGAAAACCTAGGAGGAGGAATTGGAGAACATATGGGACTTGGAGGATGAGAAGCTGAATTTCATGGTTTGGGAAGGCTGTCCCACGACCGTGGATCTTCAGTAACAACCATGGAACACAGACAGAGTATTCCCGATATGATGGATGGCATTCCAAGACCGTGGAATAGAGAGGAGAAACCTTGGAAGTTGCCTTGTGCAACTCAAGTCAAACGGTGTGTTTAGGTGTTACACGGTCGGGAAATCCCACTCTACGACAGGGGAACAAGACTAGGGAACTCTCAGTTGAGGTTATAAATTGGACTTTCGGGGGTTTTGCAAGGGATTCGATTTCTTTATTTGATAACAAGGTAAGAGACTTCTAGCGAGAGAGACTGTCAAAAAGTTCACCCTATGAGCTAATGTGTGCTTCCTTTGACCATTGGAGCTTGGATTCATTTTGTTGGAGTGGAGGCCGACGACCTGGGGCAGATTTTCACCGCTAGCATGATGATCTCTACTTCAACCATCGTGCTTTCATCTTTCTCCATAGAGTAAACTTTATCTTCACTTGAGTATAAAGAATCCTACTTCTGGATGTTAGGATAACGTTGTATGAACCCTTGGTTTGTCGAACTGATTGATTATATTCAATTGAAGCATTTTTCAGAATTGATTGAGTCTTGCTCACATTATTTTGATTACTGTTTTAACCTATGAAAGATAACATCCAATTAGGTTAAGAGAGAAACTTCAATTGGAAGTGGTGAATCGATTGCTCGAATAGTGTATCGATTCACTACTTAGTACTAGAATTCATTCCAGTATAGGAGGTCTACTTGCATTGGCTTGATAGTTTATTATGATTGAGGATAAACGATTCATTGCCTTGACACTTTAGTCTGGTTTGCTTTAGTTGAGATTCCAAGCTAATACCTGAGTAAGCTTTCTCCTAACTGAATTCGAATGAGCTCTCCTTGTTCATTACTTTAGCTTTAGTAATCGAGATCATAACGTGGTTGTTAGATAATAGAGGGCTTGCTGAGTAATAGTACATCTAGGCCCCGGGTTGACATTAGAACTTCATTCCACTGTAATATACTACTCCCTAATTTGTGGTTACGCTTGGATACTAAAGCGAGTCAACCGTCAAAGTTTTTGCTAAAAATATCAATTTGGATGTCAACTTGTAGACCATAAAATATAATTTTCTACAAAATTTATAAAAAATCGAGTTAAAATGAACGAGATAGGTCTAGTGAATTTTTGTTGGAGGTTACAAATATATCTTCATATTCGCTAGCTTATTACTCCCGACCCAAAAAACACGCCACCTTTCAAAAAATCTATAATTGTTATGAAAATTATACAAATGGAGAAGAAAAAAAGAATAAAAGTAAAGAGGAAAGACACAAGAAAAAAAAGGGAGAAGTGGTCTTCTTCTTATTCATCTTATTCTTTTGTATAATTGGGTGCTCTATTTATAGACACATATACATAACCTTTACAATCCCCTCTATCAATGCACATGAATGTGATACAATAATCATGAAGAGGATTCATTTCCATGATCAATGTAGGGAGGTAAATACCTCCTAATGTAACATCCCATATGGAATCAAAAGTAACATCCAATGTAGAATCCAATGGACATCCACAATACTACATAGAGTTTCATAATACTCACCATTGAATGTCCATTTATTAAGAATATGCCTCACTAACACCTTACTAGGAAAACCCCTATTAATAAAATACTAGTGAAGGAAAAAGAGTGCATAATCATAATACGCTATCTGAACTACCTCGTTAAAATCCTTACCAGGAAAACCCAATGGGAAAAACCATGGTTAAGAAAAAAGAGTGCAGTGCGTATAAGCTCCCCCTCATGACAACTTTGAAGTGTAGTTTTGTGAACAAAACTTTTAAATATAGTCATGGTAAGTTTCTTAGTGATAAAATCTTCTAGATTGTCACTTTATGCATGATCTAATAGGACCATTTTCTTCATACATGATCTTCAATATCATTTTCTATGAAGATAGTCTAGAACCACAAGTCATTTAGACATGTTGAGTCACAAATCTTAACCAAACAGTTCATAACATGTCTCATGAATGCTAACCACTGTGCATGATCTGATGATGTAGCATTTATGATTTGTTTAGAATCTCCATAAGATAGTTGTATGACCATAACTAAACAAATAAATTATCTTTGATTCTCATCGTTAACTGAAGGTGACAAAGTATAAGCTCAACTCTGTTTGATTGTCATCTACAGAGAGAAAAATATATCTTGCTAATATACTAAAACCGAATGATATTCTCGATTCGGGCTAAATTGTACACTTTTTATCCCCATTTTCCTTAGGCATTTGAGGCATTTGCACTCGAAGAGATTTGGTTTTACGCTAGGTTTAGCCTTGTTTTAGCATTTTTCAGACTCCAACAGGTGGAACCAGCCCCGGAGTCGGAAGTTGGACGAAGGGGCGCAAAGTCGGGTCATAGGAGGGAGGCAATCGCAGTTCACGGCAGAAGCAAAGAGTTCACGGTCAGGAGGACCGTGAATTGAAGCCAGCGGCTGTGAAGCACCATGGATCTAGAGCCATTTTCAGTCTCACTGGACTCAAGTCAGTTCACGGTCGTAAGACCGTGAACCAAATCCAGAGACCGTGAAGATCTTAAATGACGCAGTGCGTTTTTGCTCCAGTTCACGATCCTTGTCAGATGTTCACGGCCGTGAACTGGGATCGTGAATCAAGCTCGACTTGGGTATAAAAGAGGATTGAGCTTAAGGAAGAAAAGGAGGAGAGACCTAGTGTGATAAACTTCTTCTTCTTCTTCTTCTTCTTCTTCTTCAGATTTCTAGAGTGAGAAAGTCATCAACCAAAGAAGAGAAGAAGCTAGGGTTTCATCTTCATGCAAGGTTTTAAGAATTCCTTCCCAAAGGAGGATCTCTTCAACACAAGGAGCAAGACTAGAATCTCCATCATGGTTTCCTTCTTCTCTCTTGTGTTTTCTCTTCTCCTAGCATGGAGTAGTCCCTTATTTCACTTGGGTGTTTGTAAACCCTAGCTACAATTATGTCAATGTTTGTATGTGTTGAATGATTTATGTGTCGATGTATTTTAATATGAATTTGGAGGTATTTCATGGAAGACTGTGTTGTGTGTTTTCCTATCAATATATTTGTCATTCTAACCTAGGTAGAGAGGAAACCCCCTTTCTTTGAAAGAGGCTTGTAAAGCTGAGTATTTTTAGGCAAATCTTGTCTCCTATCTAGATTAATGTAGGGCAACCCTCTTTGTTCGTATTAGCACCTAGGGTTGGTTTTAATTTGGTCGTCCAAACTCCGATTCGAGGGTGAACTCTTAGCAACCCTTAGTCAAATGGTCAAGAGAGCTACGTTGGTGGCTAGAATCAAATTTCCTTGACCTATTGACCGAGATAGTGACGTTTGTTCACTTGTTGCACTTCCCTACGGTTTACAACCTCCTTACCACATATGCTCATTTGATCCTATAGGTCATAACTGCTAGCTAGGGGGACCAACACCCGGGTGAAGTCTTTTCAATTAGTGTCTAACTCCATTTACTTTTCCAAACATTTTAGCTATAGATCGTTGTTTTCACAAAAAACCAATCGCTTGGTAATGTTTCAAACAATCGAAGTAGTGGTACATAGACCGGCCTGGGTTGATATTTAAAGATACTTGCCCTATATTGCACCCAATTAAGGTTTATACTTTGGCCCTGATTGGGAGTTTTATTGTGATATTCGGGACGAGTAAATGCTAAATGTTGTATGGCTAGCAAGATACATTAGCACTCTAATGACATCAATATACGAGATTCAGG